AGTATGTAAGCATAACCACTTTGCTTCTTGCACAAGAACTCCTGAGAGGTGATTGAAGTTTATATTTTTTGGAAAAAAGCAGTAATGTCCATAGAAGCAAAGTCACGTTTCGAAGTTTACAGATCTGACAGGGCAAAGTGGCTCATGCCAGTAATCCCAGCACTTGGGGAGGCTGAAGCAGGTGGATCACCTGAGATCATGAGTTTGAGACCAGCCTGGCCAACATGGTAAAACCCTGCCTCTACTAAAAACACAGAAATTAGCTGGATGTGGTGGTACCTGCCTGTAATCCCAGCTACTCAGGAGGCTGAGGCAGGAGAATTGTTGGAACCAAGGAGGCAGAGGTTGCAGTGAGCTGAGATCACACCATTACACTCCAGCCTGGGCAACAAGAGCAAACTCCATCTCAGAAAAAAAAAGGTGGGGGGTGGGGGCTACAGATCTGAAGGCACTGGTTTTGGAATATATTAGAGTGGAATGTCTGATTGTCTTGAGTCCATGTTATTTACAAAATCTGGAAACCAGATACCCCATTAAGGATTTGTGTAGTGAATTATCTAGCCAGTGCAAAGATATGTCAAGTGAGAAAATTCTTTATGAAATTTGTTTAAAGAGAACTTAAAGTTTGTGTGTATGCACAGGAAGCATGCAAATTCTACGTAGAAATGTGATTTAGGAGAATTTTATTTTAATGGTAATAAAAAATGACTGGGATTAACTTTTTTGAAGAGGGCTCATCCTGCAGAGTTGGTACTTAGAATCATTCTAAATAGTGTGTAAAAGGCAGTTAAATGTTTTAATTCTTTTTTTATCCACTTTATTGGAAAATTGTATTTTATGATAATACAGATTTTTTTTAAATAAGTTTTTTGGACCTGTCCTTTCCTCATGTGAGAGACATTAATTACTATGAAAGATAAACAAAGGCAAACATTGATTAAAGTGGTGAAAACATATTTTAGTAACTACTGATAGGGTAAAGAGTGGAGCTTCATTCTGATTTGTGCAGAAGTGGTCATTTTTAAAGGAGCATGAAGGGGTAGGTGGGAGAATATTTAAAATTCCCACGTGATTGTAATGTGCAGCCAGAGTTGGGAACCATTGGTCCAGTTAGACCCTTCAACTAGCCATCGGGTCCAAGTCAAAGCTTCTCAATGTATTGGGAGTCTGGGAGAGAGCAGCACTCCAGTAAAAAATTACAAAGGATTGGTCAATGTGAATGTGTTTAGGCTAGTTGTGTATGTTATCTGGTAATCAAAGAAGTTAAGATTCTATTTACCCACAGAGACTAGGAGACAAAGGTTCCTCTTCTACCTGGTGGAGTTTGGTCGCTTCTAGTGCAGCGATTTGGATGGAATCATTATGTGTTGGAAGTTCTGTAGTTCTTACTACTTTATATTATATAAAATTCAGATGAAAGAATTTACTCATTTTTGCCTAGCACTTTAAGAGGAAGAGGCAGGAAGGATTGCTTGAGCCCAGGAGTTTAAGATCAGCTAGGGCAACATGGTGAAACGGGTTCTTTAAAAAAAAAAAAAAAAAAAAAAGAGCTGTGCAGGTCTGGTGGTGCATACTTGTCATCCAAGCTACTCTGGAGGCTAAAGCCAGAGGATCGCTTGAGCTCAGGAATCTGAGGCTGTAGTACGCCATGACTGATTACCATTACACTCTAGCCTGGGCAACAGAGGAGACCCTGACTAAAAAAAAAAAAAAAAAAAAAAAAAAAAAAAAAAAAAAAATTTACTAATTCTTTTCATGGTTTCAAGTATGTTTGGCTTTTTAAACTTATTCCTTGAGAAAATATATTTACCTGATTTTAAACTTAAATCACATATACTTAAAGCCATTGTGTCCCTATCAACCTAGTCCTCATTCTCTGCCCTGATTCCCAGGTGTGCAGCTTGGTTTCATAACTAGGTTTTCCTTCTTGCCCTCTAGCATTCTTCAGGTTCACAATGGTGTATTTATGATATAGGTGTGCCGTGTATATCATGTTTATCCTATTCTGCTTGACCTGGGCTTGGGTAGATTTCTGCTTTTTCTTTTTGTAAGGGTTTTTCCCAACATGTTGTCAGATGAACAAAGCACCTGTTGTGTTTTACTAAAATGAGTGTCAGCATTTGAGCAATCAACAGGGTTTGCTCATTTTGTGTATGAAAATAATATGCATCATTAGGTTATGAAAAAAACAGTATGGAAAGAGCAACAAAACTCAGAGTGATCTAGGTGGCTTCATTATCTCAGTTATTTAGGGAAATGAAAAACTGAGAGTGATTATTGCTTTCATGGGACCAGAATGTTTGATGTGATAGAAACAGGCCTTGTCACCTAATTAGGGAAGATGGCTCTTTTGTTTCAGACTATGAGTGAGTCCTGCAATTCTTAAGTCTCAGACCTGAGTGTCTTTCTCTAGATACTGTAACATGTTCTAGAAAGGCTAAAAGTTCTCTGACATTCAGTTTGTCTTGGAATTTGTCAGCTACATTACTCGGAAACACTACATTTCTCTTGAATGCACTTTTGTTAGTATCTACAGTGTGTCTTCTGTCATCCTAGTTGAAGATAATCTCACTATTTCTGATTGCATATTTTATTTTCTTCACATAAGTAGCCTAGCAAAGCTTCTAAATTAAGGACATTCATTAAAAGTAGTCATTCATAGAATATGGAAAGAAGACATAGTTTTTTGAGCACGGTGTGCACCAGGCATTTTCATATAAACTTTTATAGAAACTAGGATAGCCACATGAAGTGGGAATTGATAGCTCTAACATATGCTGGTGAGGAACCCAGACCCAGAAACTGAAGTAATTTCACATACATAAGCTAGGTGATTGAACTAGATTTGCACCTCAGAAGCACAACTGTGTTCACATGCTCAGTGAGGCTTTAGCAGAAGAACTTCTTAAAGTTAAAAAAGTGTATATATTTTATATATCTCTATACACGTTTATATATATACATATACTACGTGTATACACATATGTATGCACAAAATAAAATGAAAGCCGTGTTACATTATTAATATTTAGTGAGCTTTGGCTTTATCCTAAGACGCAATCTCATTTCTATTAATCTTCAGATTATTTTATGGTCTCATCTTCTCTCCTTGGCTTTTTGGGAATGGGATGCTGTGGGGAATGGGGGTTAGCAGGGCCTTTCCTCAGCTTTGGATGCAGAGGAACCAAAGGAATCTGGCCTGGGTGTGCTTGGAAATCATGACAGCCTTTATTATCAGTTCTTCTGGAGCAATTCAGAACAAGAAATGGACCTGAGCAGATGGTCTGTAATCACTATGGCAAGAATGGATGTGCAGGTGTGGGAGGGGACTTGGAGATCAGAGTCTTCTAAATAGATTCCTTGCAAAGAAGGCATATGAAAGGAAAGAAACTTTTTATAATGCAGCGGCCACAGCCTGGCCCCAAGCATGGGGAGGAGGATATGAAAGTTGCGTGATTAGTTCAGGTATTGCTGTACTTTCTTAGACTCTATCTTCTGGACCGAGGGAAGCTGAGGATTCCACAGGACTTCTAAATAGGGGATCTGAGACCCTTCCAAGCTCTTCTGCGAAATGCCTGTCTCGGTGCAGTTAGATCTGATATCGGTTGCAGTGTCATCAAGATACAGACAGATTGTTTGCTGGGCTACCTCAATCAGCTACAGTGGTATGAGGAAGAGAGGGGAAATCTTTCAGTCAAGTACTAAGAGAGAGAGTCAATTTAAATATCAACCTTTTTTTACAAAAGCAAAATCTCGGCGGAAATACTTGGTTTTAGAAGGAATAGTTCTTTGACACTTGCTTTGTTTCACTGCCAGAATTGGCTTCGTGGGATACATTCCAGAGGGATCTAGAGAGCTATAACACTGCTTTTTTGATAATGCCCACCTTAATTATCTGCACATCTTAATTACCTTTGCTTCAAGGCATCATTGTGTGGTTTACTTTGATTTGGGTTGCGCTCCAAATTGTAATTATATAAAGAACATTGTAAACAGAGTTTCTTAAGCTTTTTTTTAAAAAAATTTACCACTATGATTCTTGGTGGGGTGAGGCAATAATGGTGGTATTGCAGGAACCTATTGGAATGATCTGGGGAATTGTTTCAAGCTGCAAAAGTGTCCACTCCAAACTCTTGTGTTAGTGATTCCAAGACGCCACCTCTGAACAATATCCATGCAAATGTCACATTCTTTGTGTTAAGGAAGAAAATCCAAAATACCAAAAACAAGGTTTTAAACTCACTAGAGCATAATTTCTGAAGTTCGCTCAAGTTTCCAGAGTTTTAATATAGATCCTACTGCTCTGTTGTTCAGTTTGGTCTTTGTCTTCATTACCTTCTGTTTTTGACCCTTAATTGAGAGTATAGTTTATACACATGCAATTCAATTTTCTGTGTGTGAGAAAAATCATACCATTAAAGCAATACAGCAAAATAAAACATAATACAAGATGTAAATCCAAAGTCAGCTTTCTTTGGCACTCAGATTGTTCTAGGTGTAGGGAAATACTTTCCATAGATTTTTCTCTTTTCTGATAAATTTTCAGTAACTTTGTGTTGACAGATTGTAGTTTCTTGCCAGGCTACTTTCTAGAGACTTTATAAACAAATTTAGGGGACACTTAAGAGACAAAGGCATATGGATATTAGGTAAGGGAGTAGGAAACGTGGAGCATAAGTAGTAACAAAAGTATCTCTGTGTGTAAAATCTCTGAGGAAGCACAGTAGGCTTCAGATCATAAGGGAGCCAAAAATGGCCCCCTTTCTCATCTACTTGTATAAGGCTACCTTATCCTTCAGTGTTACAGGGCAGTAGTGCCATGTCTAATAAATAAAAAACTAGGTTCACACTCTCCTCTGCCCACAGCATGGACTAAAAGGCCTAGATTGGGCCTCTTCCAGGACTAGCAGAAGAATATTCATGTGATTGAAAAGCATCTTTGTCTTACCTGTCACTCTGGTTTTTCATCTGTTTAGCAAATATTTTTTTTTTTGTCTTAGGTTGAAGCAGGAGTGGCCACAAACAAACCTCTCGAACACTGAACAGGGAAGGAAGTGGTGATTTATTTGCCCGGGAGCTGTGGAAGGTGAAAATACCTTAACAACCAAGCTCCTCAACAAAGAAAATTCTTGCCCTTTCAAAGTTTTACAGTTCTAGAAATTACATGTGAAAGGGTCTTGATCCATGAAGTAGGCGTGGGGTACATGACTAGGTGGGGGTTTGATCGTGTTTAAGCCAAAATAATGCCTTCCAGAAAGATTGCTTCATACCATGCCTGTGATCTACAGGAGTGTGATTAAGGGTAGCACCTGGTCTGCCAGCCTTTACTTCTCCTATTGAAATGCAATGTAGAAGTCTAGGGGGAAGGGGTTTTAGAAGCTTGAGAGGATTAAGGGTCTCCTTCCTCAGGTAAGTATGTTTAATTTTATATTAAGTATTAAATGTTCTGATCCTCGTAAAATTTTACCATTGGTATTTTCAATTTTAGTGATATCAGCCAAAATATATAAAAAATGAGATTCATGGCTATTTGCTTGAAGAATTCCTTCAAAGTTGGAGGAATGAATCCTAAGTAAAGAAAATAATACCCAGTGAATTGGCCCTGTTTTCATTAGAAGGGATAAGCACACAAAGAAGTAGTGTCTTAAGATATTTTTGTCTGGCTTCAGCAAAAGCAGTACTGTTTCTTTGATTTGTAAAGACTTTTATATATATGCCTGTGTATACATATATATATATATATATACACACACAAACATACATATAAAATTGACATTTAATCCCTTTTATTGTTTGTGGTATTTATACTTAACTATTTGATATCTTCCCAAGCTTATATGAGCAGCAACTTAAAATATGGTGAAATTATTTTCTTAATGTTCATATTATTTAAACTATGGGAGACCGAGCGCATGTGTGCATCACTAATGTAAATGTAGACTTGTTTATTGAAGCAAATTTACCTGAGAAGTAATTTATGTAAAATGTTAATTTCACAAGTTTTTAATAAGAAGTTTATGAAAAAGCCCTTAGTTAACTAATTTTAGAGGAATTGTTTTCTTAAATATAAGGTCAATATAAAATATATACTACAAATATTAATTAAAGTTAAATAATATCACAGTAGTATGATCGAGACCATCCTGGTCAACATGGTGAAACCCCGTCTCTACTAAAAATACAAAAAATTAGCTGGGCAAGGTGGCACGTGCCTGTAATCCCAGCTACTCAGGAGGCTGGGGCAGCAGAATTGCCTGAACCCAGGACGTGGAGGTTGCGGTGAGCCGAGATCGCACCATTGCACTCCAGCCTGGGTGACAAGAGCGAAACTCCATCTCAAAAATAAAAAAAGACTTAGGAAAACAAGTGTAGAGAAATGTTCAAGATTTGTGTACTTAAAAGTGCAAAATAGGGCCGGGCTCGGTGGCTCACGCCTGTAATCCCAGCACTTTGGGAGGCCGAGGCGGGTGGATCACGAGGTCAAGAGATCGAGACCATCCTGGTCAACATGGTGAAACCCTGTCTCTACTAAAGATACAAAAAATTAGCTGGGCATAATGCCTGTAATCCTAGCTACTCAGAAGGCTGAGGCAGGAGAATTGCTTGAACCCAGGAGGCGGAGGTTGTGGTGAGCCGAGATTGCGCCATTGCACTCCAGCCTGGGTAACAAGAGTGAAACTCCGTCTCAAAAAAAAACAAAAAGTGTAAAATATCAGTGAGAGGAATTAAATAACACCTAAATGAATGGATATGTATATCATGTTCATGGATTGACAAGACAACAGTTCTCCACCGAATGAGCTGTAACTCAATGCAATCCTAATTATAATGCCAACAGGCATTTATTTTTGAAAATGGCAAGCTGATTCTCAAATTTGCATGGAAATGCAAAATAGATGTAATTTGTAAAAGAATGACAAAGTTAGATGGCTCATACCAATTGATTTAAAATTTTGTAAGGCTACAGAATAAAGATTGTGTAGAATTGGTGTGAGAAAAATAAGTAGAGAAATTGAAGCAGTCTAGAAATAGAGCCATACATATTTAGACAACTGGTTTTTTGACAAAGGTGTCAAGGTGATTCAATAAGAAAAGGAACGTCATTTCAGCAAATTATTATACAATTGGAAACATTTGTTAGAGAGTATTGAGCTTCAATCTCTACCTGTCATCTAATGCAAAAGTAAACTCGATGATCAGAAATATAAATATTAAGGTTAAACTAAGATGCAGACATACAACAACGAAGTTGAATCTTTGATGGAAAACATTCAGCAATGGAAACCATTTATGACGGATTTTGTACTGTACTATTTGTACTGTGTACTGTATTATTCGTCTAATGACTTCTTTTGCTCTGGTAGATACCCAGGAGTCGGGTTTCTGGTTTAAATGGTAGATCTGCTTTTCAAAGAACCAGCTATCTTACCCTCATAGTGTAAAGCAGAGGTTTGCCTGGTATGTTCTAGAGTGAAGACCTTTTAACCTAATTAACACCTAAATAAATGGATATGTATATAATGTTCATGGATTGACAAGATGACAGTTCTCCTATCCCCTAAATTTGACAGTTCACCAATCACCTAAGTAGGTGATAGGGTGAAATGACTTTCATTGTACAGTTTATACTGTATTATTCCTTTTCTTTTTAGAATCTGAAGTTCTAGAACAGGCAAAACTAAGGTAATAGAAATCAGAACAGTGGAAAAGGTCAAGAGAGATTATGGAAATGTTGCACATATGAATGAGGATGGCGGGTATACAGTTGTATGTATTTGTCACAACTCATTAAGCTTTACACTTGAAATGTGCAGTTGGTAGTGTCATTTATACCTCAGTAGAAACTAACTTTCTTAAGAAATCACATCAGATCGTGCATGTTATCTGTTCATCTCTAAGTCCGCATGTTGCTAACATTGCTTTTTACAACTTAGGCTGCCTCAGAACCTTATGTATCACTCAGGGTTCTCCAGAGACATAGAACCAATAGAATATATATATTTTGAACAGATGAACTGTCATATCCACTCAAACAGTAAGCATCTAGCTGAGAGAGGATCCCTCTATTCTTTTACCTTATTACTCGCACCATTCCCATGTGGAAAAGTTACAAGTACAATTACATAAATTTCAAAATTATCATTGGATTTCATTTTCTAATGGTAAATCCACTTGTTTTTTGAACCACTATGAACTGAGGAGGGGAGACTTCATTTTTGTTGTACAGAAGGATAAGACATGGAATGATTTGTTAAAGATTAAGTTGTTTAAAATATATTCACTATGCCAGGCATCCTTTTAGAAGCTTGGACTGCACCAGTGAACAAATCATACAGTCTCTGTTCTTGTACATCTTGCATTCTGTAAGTGGGAGACAGAGTTAAAATAGTACAAAAGAGAATTAAATGGTAAGATAATTATCCTGATAACTTGTAGAGGGGAAAATAAAATGAAATAAGGTCAGGGAGGAGGCATTGCAGATCCCAGGTGTGGATTTGCCGCATTAGGAAGATGGCATTTAGCCAAATGCTGGGAGCGGAGGGAAATAGCTTTGTAGATATCTTGGGGCAGCACATTTCACTAAAGGAAGCAACCAGTGCAAAGTCCCAAAGCCCAGTGTAACTAAGACTAGTACTCTGATATTCACTAGTTAATTCTTGTAGCAAATAAGTATTGAGCATGCTCTGTGCAAGTATACTGCTGACCTTTGGAGCTACAACAATGAAAACACAGTGCTGGGGCAATTCTTATTTCCTTCCTTTTTCCCCTTAGGAGTGTTTTCTAAACCATGAGCCACACCACCGCTATCAAAGTCTGCAAATCTATTTTACTCTAGGAATTTTCTGTAAGGAAGAAATAATTATCTTCAAATATATAGGTGTTATAACTGATGATGATAATTTAAAGGTATTTTTAAATTCATAATTATGCACTTTTCAATTGACAAATACTGAAAATTCAGCTTAGTGGTATAGTCTATGAGCATTTCAAAAGTTGAAAGGGTCTTCATTCTAGGACATACGGGGTAAACCTCGGCTTTACCCCATGAGAGTAAGATTGCTGCTGCTTCTAAACGTAGATCTACCATTTAATCCAGAAATCCCACTCCTGGGTATCTACTCAGAGCAAAAGAAGTTATACGAAAAAGATACATACACATACCATGGAATACTGCTCGGCCATAGAAAGGAACAAATTAATGGCATTCACAGCAACCTGGATGAAGTTGGAGACCATTATTCTAAGTGAAGTAACTCAGGAATGGAAAACTAAATGCCATTTGTTTTCACTCATAAGTGGGAGCTAAGCTGGGAGGATGCAGAGGCACAAAAATCATACAATGAACTTTGGGGACTTGGGGAAAAGGGTGGGAGGGGAGTGAGGGATAAAGACTACCCATTGGTTGCAGTGTACACTGCTTGGGTGCTGGGTGCACCAAAATCTCAGAAGTAACCCACCACTAACGCACTTACTCTACCTGTTCCAAACTCTCCTTTCTGCTAAAAAAGCTATTGAAAAGAAATTACCAGTTACAAAAGCCACACTAAAATGTGCTCTAAGGAAGATCCTAGAAAACTTGAGGAGGAATAGCATAATTAGACCTGTGTTGTTTAAAAGCTTACATTTTATTTTCAGTTATGCAGCAAAGCCAAATGGAATAAATCTATTGAGTAATGCTTACCATTTCATTATAGTTATTTTTTTCATTTTGTAACATGATGACCTAATCTAACGTACTTAATTTGTTTGTTCCTATTACCAAAAATGGATTCAAGTCCCAATTTTTCTGCATTGCACATAAATAAAGCAGTGTTTTTAAATTAACTGTCTTCTATTAAAAGTTAGCAATTGAAAATAGCTTTCTAGTTTAGCTCTGCCTGGACAACTTCAGATGAACTTTGGGAACAATTAAGACAGACACTTGTGAAGCTCTATGCACATGCTAGTAGATGGACATCTGGTTTATGTGTCTGCAAGCTGGTTTGACATTTATAAGTTTGGATGAATTTTCATTGTAGCCTTATGTTTGAAAGTGTAGCCTTTTGTGTTTGAAGTTTTAATTTTGATCTTGATAAGACTGTGGTGGACCAAAGAGTTATTGTATGAGAGATTTCAAAATATTTACTATCAGTAAAGGTCCCTGTATTCTTATATAATACTGAATTGTTTTCGAGTTGAGATAAATAGTTGTTATGAGAATTGAGAAAAAGAAAAATGGGTGTCAACATATTTAGATTTAGAAGAGTAAAGCAGTTACATATTTATAAAGGATTTCTCAAACCTGTATTTACCTTGGATATTTTCAATTGGGGTTCTCCATGTGGTCTGTATTTTATTTCTGTACAATAGTCTTTCCCGCTCAGAAGAACCTCTGTGATTATTCCTAGTGTCTAAATCATTTCTTAATGCTAACTAAATACACATTCTCAATGAATTATCCTTGATCATGATCTATTTTGATCTTTGATGTTGCTGACAGGCAGAATAACAATATGAAATTATAACAATTGTAGTTAATCTGTGTGGTACTTGGCAACGTCATGAATATTCATTCTTTGGTAAGACAGCCCCTTCGGCTTTGTTACTCATTCAGACTTTCCATGCATGTGGCTCTGTGGTAGCTTTTGCTTGAACATATAGATGCTTGTTGGCTAATGGCTTCTCACTTTACAGATGGTAAATATGCAGCCATAACTTTTCTGATGATATTGCCATCTGGGTAGAAATCACTGTACATTCTGAATTTTTCTTGTGTCCTTTTTACCTCTGTGAATATCACATGAGATAGGATCACAGCAAAATGGCTCTGCTGTGCTCAACCCAGTTCTGTGATGCCTCAGATTTCTAGAGTGCAGTGATTTAATTCATGCTTAAGGGATTACTTCCCTTGTTAATATACCAGTAGCTAATGAGGATTGTGAGATAGCCTTAGTCACACTCTTGCTGAGATTTATTCTAGTCCTGATGATTTGTAACAGAGAGAGGAAATTGGAACCTTTGAAATTTGCATGAGTTTCTTTTTTTTAATGTGTGTTTATATGTGCCAGAGTCTTGAGAGACAGTGAATGATGTTATAACATACTAAATGCTTACATGAGTGTGGATCATCCTTATCTGCATTTAAGTTACCTTTTTTCTCTTACGTTTTTGTTATTTTCAATTATTCTGACTAGAAGAGCTGCAAATAGCACTTTTTGTATTTTGGAACTTGTTAAGCAACTTCTCAAGGAGCTAGAGACTTGCTGTATACTAGTCAATTATTTATATTAATAAAATACATTTGTATTGGAACTATGACAGAATTCCTATGTTACTCTTCAAATTGTTATTGTATATGTAAATTTCTTTTGAAAGCCACATGAAAGTAAATACATTTAATATGCATTATACTGCTTTTGAAAAGTTGGGTTGTTGATGAGTATTATTTACTGAGGGCCTACTGTGTTCCTGCAATGAATTGAGTTCTCTAGGTTTACCTGATACTATGCTTACAGTGAACCTGTTGGGGTATTATTATTTTATAGGTGAGAAAAAAGGAGGCTCTGAGAGTTTCTGTAATATGTCCAATGTCACACTGCTAGCAGAGGCAGACACTGAATAGAATCCTGGGCCAGTCTGTTATCTAAGTATTTAATATTAAGAACTACAATACTATATGATGCATTGCTTAAAAATACTTTCCAAATAGTTGTGCAACTATTTCCAGCAGTAATTATGACTTGAAACCATATTGCTTTCTTTCTTATTGAACAATGTATTTAATAGTTATCTATTTAATGTTCTCCCTCACCTCATCTCTTTGCTCACACCATACATTTGTTCTCATGGTCCTGATTATGAAATAGGACAAAATTATTTAGGGATTGAAATAAAGACTTTACCCAAATTCATACAGACTGTCCTGGCATTGGCTCAGTTCTTCATTTAACTAAGACTGGAAACTAGATCACCTTGCAGCCTGGAACACTCTTCCTGGATGTTAGCACTGCTAATCTTTAAGGATTTTTTTTTGTCTTGAGTGTAATTCTGTTTCAGCCACACAAATCTCTAGACTCGTTACCTAATTCCTGCTTCTGCTTCACTAAAGCAGATTTGCCTTCCCATCATCTCAAATCCATGGCTCCTCTTCATCAACTCCCTTTTTCTCAAGGAATTACTTAATTCTTACAAATCCCATATTCCCTCAAAACTACCAAACTGAGTTGGATTTACAAAGTCACATTCATTTCTCTTCATAGGAAGCCTTTGATGTTTTTCTTTTACTACATTTGTATTTCCTTCAGGGCATTTATAATTGTGCTATACACATTGTTGATACATGGTCTTTGTTGAGCAACTCCTAAGAGTAGTAGCCTTGGATCTATTATGGTTAACAGAAAAATTAAGTAGAAAAAATATTTTATTGACAAGCAGAAGTTAGACTTGAAAAGGATTCAGAAAAATGTCCCAGTTCCTTTATTTTCTCTGTTATAATACTTGCGCTAGTATGGATTATTGAAATGCTAAGAAAATGTCATTTTTTCTAAACTAAACAGGAAACTATAAATATATTGGTCAATATCCAGAAATACTTAAGTTTTAGGAGCAGAAAATTCCCTAGAAATTTGTCTAGAGACTGAGTGTATGTTTTCAGTGTACCATGACTAATTAAATGCATATGAATAGAACAGACAGGAACAACACAGTATATATGTTTAATGGGCCTAAGTATTTTTATAAGCAATGATTTAGGTATCATGTGGGAAATACTTGAAAAAAGAAAACCTTATTTTTGTTGTTTCCGTTTTTAGTGAACATTGGATACTAAAAATATTTTTCATGAACCATACATGATGAGACAATAAAAATTATTAAAGTGGAGGCTGTGAATCTGAAAAAGGAACTTTCACTTAAATACTTAATTTTCATCTTTGCACATGAGCAAAAATTAAATTATATGCCTAAAGTATGAATGTTCATCTTAGATCTTGTCTGATTCTTTCAGGCATCTTTCAGTGTAGATTAAACATTGTTAAATGCATTGAATCCATGGATGGTGGGACAAAATCCTCTCCTTGATATTTTCCTTCTGTAAGTTTTCTAGATTTTGTTCTGTTTTATCAGCTGTGTAACTTTGGGAAGTCTGGGAGCAAATTCTGTTATTGAGCTTATTAAAAAATCAGGACTCAAGCTATTTAATACATATAAATGATATAGTACCAAATCCCAAGGCTAAGACTTCTTTTTGATAGTCTATTATTTTTATTTGACTAAGTAGCCTGTTATTTTTAACATTTATTTTTCTCAAAAACTAATTATGTCAACCAGTAAATTCTTTTCAATCCTATTTCCCTTCTATCTTACTCACTTTAGGCTGCTATAACAAATTTCCGTAGATTGGGTGGCTTATAAACAGGAAAAATTTATCTCTCACAGTTGTGGAGGCTGGATGTTCAAGATCAGTGTGCCAAAATGGTTGGATTCTGGTCAGGGCCTTCTTCCAGGTTGCTAAGACTGACTTCGTATACACGTACATGGCAGAAAACAGCTAGCTAGCACTCTGGCCTCTTACAAGGGTACTAGTTTCCCTTATAGGAAGGCCAGGGGGACTCTTCCCTTCTGATTTAATTACCTTCCAAAAGACCCATCTCCAAATACCATAGGATTTAGCTGATCGCTAATACATTGGGATTATGGTTTCAGTATTTGAACTGGGTATGAGAAGCACATACATTCAGGCCTTAAAATCCTCCAAAGAAAATAACTGTTGACCTTTTAGTGGATATGTACCTAGATAAATTTACTTGGATTATCAAATCTGTCTATATATGTATATATACATATGGATTTTTGTGTCCCGGAGGACTTTACATGCCAGTTTATCTAAATTTATCATTTATCTTAACTGTTGTAAACTATTATGTGGTCTATTGGTGCTTCTTTGAACTTTAAGATGTGTGAATATGTACAGTCATGTTCATGTACATTTATTTCTGCAAAAGAGAAATCTAAGAAGTGGAATTCTTAGGTTAAATAACATACACATTATTTTACAGTTCCCTCCTTACTCATTTCTATCATAGTATGTCATTATTTTGACTGCCACCTCTTTTCCTTGTTTACTTTTCCAGTCAGTGCCTCCTAGCCATGCTACTATACGAATACAGTGGTATTCTGTTAGAATTTGATACCAAGAAAATTTATTTTTGCTTGACTTTCAACCCCTAGTGGAATATAAAAAACATATTTCAAGTGGTTCATGTATTGCCATTACTAGTACTCTCTTAATCAACTGACTTGAGACAAAACTAAAGAAACGGTCATCCACGGTGTACATTTGCTTATCCAGATTAGGAGAAGCCAGGCAGGAGCCAAATACAGAAACACTGGAAATTTCTTTATATTCCTATTGCCACCACCATTGTTACACCTTGTTATAATTAGACTACGATAAACATGAAGGTATGGATTAATAAAATGAGCCATGGTGATATGGTTTGGCTGCGTCCACCCAAATCTCGTCTTGAATTGTCACATGTTGTGGGAGGGTCCTGGTGGGAGATAATTGAATCATGGGGGTAGTTCCCCCCATACTTTTCTCATGGTAGTAAATAATTCCCATGAGATCTGAATGGTTTTATAAAGGTGAGTTTCCCTGCACAAGCTCTCTTTTCTGCCTCCATGTGAAACATGCCTTTCACTTTCTTCCATGATTGTGAGTCCTCCCTAGCCATGTGGAAATATAAGTCCAATTAAACCTCTTTCTTTTGTAAATTGCTGAGTCTCGGGTATGTATTTATTAGCAGCATGTAAATGGACTAATACACATGGAGAGATATGTCTGTCTTAAAATAGTCTGTGGTACCTAGAACCAGTTATTTTGATTTTGACAGTCTATCCCATTTACATTTTTCTAAGTGTAAAGAATCACATGCACAAAAATTCCCAACCCTAGAATGTATTCTGTGTCTGACTTCTGTTATGTGAGCCAAGATATTTCCTTCTTGTAGAATTATTTGAAGAATATTTGTTCTTTTCAGCCAAGTACACTCTTTTGGTATAACATTTGGTTTATGCCATGCAGTGCTGCCACAAAAGGTTCTGAAATGTATTTGAATGAATGGAGGAGCTGGGGAATACAGCAGTGAAACCTCACTCTTCAGGCTGGGATGTACGTGATCCTTCATAACTGATATTAAAAAAAAAAAAGGAAAACTTATTTGTTGTGCCTTTGGATATTTACCTTGTGCCTATAGATTCTGAAACATTAGAGGAAATTCTGGGGAAAGGTAACAAAACTGGACTGTGTTCACTTTTATTTGCAGGATGCAATAAAGAAACCTAGGTGCAAAGCGACTTATTTGAAAACTGAGAGAAAAAAAATCTACATGGAAGGAGAGTCTGATGATTTAAAACTTGGGCTATCCAGGAATATATTCTCTTCCCAAACCAGGAAGTCTGAAGTTTCCCTGGCTAGGAGCATCACCTATGATTTGAAACATTTAGCATTAGAACAGTTTAATTTTGTGCCTTAAACTAAAATTAGTTCTGGCAATGGTCATTGAATTGGGTATGTTTTTAGGAGATAAGTTTGGGAAAAGACCAAACCTAACCTTTTTCGCTTCTCTTACATACCTTCCTTTGAGCATCCTGTGTTCCATCTAAGGGGCAGAACTGTATGTGATAAATTCAATTTGGGGTCATCTTCTCAATTGCCCATGGCACAGGCCATTACACGGAGGATGGTAGAATAGATAAGATTACAACTCTGTGCCTGTGAAACACTAGAGTATCCAGAGTCCTAGAAGGACTCTAAAGCAACTCACTAAAGTTACAAGGCCATAGATTTGACTAGATTCAGACACAATAGAAGCATCCTGAATTTTTATGAGAAACCTGTATCCATAGAAATGGTAATCCTGGCAACAGTCTGAGACTGTTCAATCCCTAAGGCAAGTTCTCAGGCTTTCCACTACAGACAAAATGAGCTGATAACTGCATGGCTCCCAGAAAAGGCATTCTCCACAATACTCTTCTCAGTATGGCCATGGAGGAAAATGAGCAAGAGAAAGCCGTTCAGAAAGCAGAAACTTTGGCTATCCAGAAACATGTTTTCTTCCCAAACATGGAAACCATCAGTTTCTCTTGCTAGCAGCATTGACTTATGAGAGAGGTATGGGCCAGGGATGACTTTGGATTGCTTTTCATTTGCCCCTTTTCTGGCATCATTGTTGCCATGGTTGACGTTGTGTTTTTTCTCTACCACTGATTGACGTGAATGTGAAGAGATACCTACCTTACTATTTAGTTACAGACCCCAGATCTTTGAGATGAGAAACTGGTGCTCTAACTGTAAAGAACTTGAAGTTTGAAATAGATGTAATCATTTTTAGACATGAGTCAGCCCTTGTGATTTAGTATTTTCTGTTACTCAAAACATAAAGACTTTTCTTTTATAGATAGACTTTTCTTGGGCCTTTGCTTAATTGCAATTTTGTTACTTCACCAACTCAAAGTCATTGGCATAGTCTAAGAGGGCACACTCAAAGTGGAGAGGCCTAGGTTAGGTAAAAGAAATCCAAAAAGGTAAGATGATGACAAACTTGGCATAAGTCACAGTTAAACTTTGGGTGGATTCTAACTGACTAAAATTGCTGTGGGTGAGCAGTGCCTTGAAGTGAAAATTGGGGAGCCAGCTGATAACTTGGTTATGAAGAAAACAAATACATTTCTTTGGGCCCTAGTTGCTCTTATTAAAATGAGAGGATTGTGTCGATGCTCTGTACAGTTCCATCTAGGTTCCTGGTTCTTAAATTATTTTGTTCAGGTTAAAACTGGAGTTTTGCTTGGGATAATTTATAAAATACTTCATTTATTTAACACTTTGGATAGAAAAGCCCTTTGTAATAATGGAATGAGATGTTATTTTTGCATGTTCTTGAAATTATGTTTGCAAACTATAGTGACTGTATTTTTGTGATTTAAAAAAATTATTTTCTGTTAAATAAGGGATTTTACTATGGCTTATTTACCAGCATCCCCAACCCTCCCCAAATTTATAATAAACCTTTTTATATTCCATAAACTTTACTAATTAGAATTGTTAGTAAAATTATTAATATTAAAATTATAGTTGATACAGTTTCTCTAGGATAAAATATTTTTTATCCCTATTAATACTGCCTAGCATGAATTAGTTGGGTAGTTACAGAACAATGTTAAGCAATATATTTCAGGCAGATGCAGAGATATTTTGTAAAGCAAATGCAAAGTATGTATTACAAATATTTTTATGTATTGCTAAACATTAAATATTTACCTACCTTTTTAGCAATTATATGTTAGGTTTACAGATTTAACAATAAATATTGATGATACAGTTACAATGGTTCTGCTGCTTATTAGAGGCTAATTACATTGTTTATATGTATATATATGAACTATATATGAAATAGCTTAAAAATCTGTAACTCATTTACTGTTAAAAGGTTGTACTTAAGAAACAACTTATAATTGTTGAAGAATATAGTACTTTTTTATTTTCTTATATTCAGTATTTGTAATATTACAATATGTTTCTATTTTAAAGCATAAAAGTGTCTTAGAGGCTGTTATATATGTGGAGCATATTTTGTGAAATATCCTTGAATTAATTTAATTACTTAGGCTGTTTTTTAAGTTGAGAAAAGTGCTCTGTTACTTTCCAAGAGAATGTGATTTTGTAAAAGATGTAGTCTGACAGGATGATTTGAATCGTAGCAATGAAAATCATCAATTGCATGTCATTATGTTTGTGTTTTTGTTTTGGTGCACTTGATACTACATCTGTGTTTTCTTTATGCCTTGAAGCTGGAGATTTTATTAATAAGTCACATGAAGAATAACAAAATTTAATGATTTGACCTGTTTAACATTATGAATGTGTTCTTCCACCTTTTGATTGTGGTTATAACTAATGAATGATACAATAGATTCTAATTTTATTAGAATATTTTAGTGAACACTGATTGTGGATATGAATATATTTTAAATTCATTTGGAAAGGAAGTATGTTTTCCAGGGTCTATAATTAGTATGTAATCCTTTTTCCTAAGAAAAAGTCTTAAATGCATTTTCTTAAAATAATTACCTTGTATCTCATTCCATTGGTACATATAAAATAAAAATTATAATCATACAGTTGTTTTTTCATAATTTTCAATAGAATTAAAATTAGAATTTTTAAATTTTGACTGTAGTAGAGATCAAAACATTATCTGGAAAAAATATTATCAATTTAAATTCTTCAACTTTATATCATGGCTTTTCTACAAACATTGTACCTAAAATTACAGTGAAGCTTTTCTAATCACGTGTATCACATTTGTTTGCCATTCTGTGAAGCACAAAGTGAGTAAAGATTTTCATTTTTATGTGAAAGCACCATAGCAATTTGGAGATACAAGTTTGGCCATCTTAGTCATGTACAGTTTTGATATTTTTCAGTAAAAGATTAGTTTTATGAATGTTTTGATTTTAACTTTCATTAGATAACACACATAGACATAATTCCAGTAAGCTATATTTGTATTTTATGAGGGACTTCTTTCCCTAAATATTGACTATAGAATTCATAACTTTGTTTTTCTTGACAAAAAGCTGACTATAACAGTTAGAGAATTGGCATTTCACAGTGAAAGCTCAGTCAATTACAGAATAAAGTGGTAGAAAATATTGTTAGATGAATATGTTCTATTATGTGATTTTGAAATTAATGAATAACATAATGCTTGCCACATACATGTAATGAGATTAGAGAAATTAGCAACCATGTATGCCTAGATCAGTAAAACTACCATTACATTATCTATGAAGGATAGCATCTCATAAAAAACCATTAAAAAAAACCCACTCATATAATGTATGTGTTGCCTTTCTTATATTGTTATGTATTATAACTCAACATTTTACCTCCATCAAGGAAGTTTTGTTACTAATTAAGAGTTATGGAAAATACAGTGTTGTATATTTTTAAAATTGCATCTGTATTTCTGGTTCCCAGCTCTCGCTGTATGTTAGAGTGACCAAAGGGCTTTTAACAAGTACTGATGCCTGGGTCCCCCCACAAACCAGTTAAATCAGTCTCTCTGGGTAGGATTAGGCAATAGAGTTTGTTTCTAGAATTCTCCTGGTAACATACAGCCTGGTTGAAGACATCTTGTCTCTGTGGTACAAGAATATAGACAAAAGTATCATCATAGCATACCATTGAAATAAAATTTTATTTATCTCTGTGGCTTGTAGAGTTCTAACAAGCCTAGCAAATTGGGAAAAAAATCTTTTCTTGACTTACAGCCTTATGATGTTATTGCTGATGCTCAGAAAACATGGATTTTTTTTTTAATTAAAGACATGTTAAAATGAATGTAATGGGAAAAAATGTAATGGATGCTTCTGCTATTGCTGGTCATTCTTTGGAAAATCATCTGCTGACATAAATGAACATCATGATTCGTTGACTATAGCTAAGGAAAGACTTCTGCAAACACCCTTAGATGTCTTTTACTGCAGAAATGTGTGCCACAGTGTATTCGTTTTCTGTTGCTGCTGTAACAAATTACCAAAAACCTAGTGGCTTTAAAAAACAGATTTATTATTTTATAGTTCTGGGAGGTCACAAGTTCTAAAAGCCAGGATGTCAGCCAGGTTGCATTCCTTTTCAAGGCTCTAGGGGAGGATTCCCTACATTATTTTCCTGGTTTCTCAAGGCTACCTGCATTATTTTCTTGTGCCACTTTCCTCTGCTGCAAAGTGCAAGACTCCGGTTTCTGCCTCTATTGTTATATCTCTCTCTCTTACCCTTCTACCTCCCTTTTAAGAGGACTTTTGTGATTATTTTGGCACCACTCACATAAACATAATCCAGGATAACCTCCTCATTTAAAGATTTTTAACTTAATCATATCCACAAAACTTCTTTTGCTATACATGATAACATTTTCATGGGTTCTAGAATTTGAGCATGGCCATCTTTAGGGAGGCTTTATTTTGTCTACCATTTGTAAAGTTGAGCTACTTTTTAAAAATAAAAATACAGCATTTAAAAATTATCATAGGATAGGGTGTCTGTGAAGAATAGAACAAAAATAAATTCAGTGCTAGATTTTCAGAGAGCAGGACAATGCAAAAAATACTTGACGTTAACACTTGTTAAAGAAACTATAAAATATATGGACACATTTTAATTATGTAAAAATATTTTAGTTCATTCTGTATTTTCTGATTGCTTTATGCAATTAGAATTTGATTTTCCAAAATAGTGTCTAATTTGAGATAAGATTTATGTGCTTGAAACACTCCTAAGATATACACTGCTTGTTCTATTTCTTTATCTCTCCTTGTCTTCATATTTCTTGTCATTAAATAGGGACTCAACCAAATTTATGAGGATTTGATACCTAAATGATCAAATGTACTCAGCATTGTTCACACAGGTATAGGAACATAAAGACACAATAATTGATGTTAGTATCGCAGATTTATCTTTTAAAAATGCTTATGTAGAGACTATTAACATCAGATTATTGTCCAGCTTGGTAGATTTATGTATCTTCTGTGTATTCACTGAATGTTTTTATGTATCCATACTCTTAAGATTTTGAGGTAGCTATAGTGATATAAAAATAAGTCACTGATAGTCTGCCTTCAACTGAATATATATATGCTATTCAATGAGAAAACTTAAAAGCAATGTAAGAGAGATACAGAGAAATGATTTTAGTTCAGAGGATGAAATGCTTTTGATAATGTATAAATACAACATTTGTTTCTTGAAACTGAACCAACATGGTTTATCCCATCATTTCTTAGTAATTCACGTAATAATTTGTGTAGGCATAAAACTTTTCTTTCATCTTAATTTTCTACTAGTTCTTTATTTTAAATTCTGAAGCTTTACAGACATAAACCTTCAGAAGTTCTGTGCAACAGCTGTGCTTCATATGGTATTGGAATCACTGATAACCCACTTTTACCAATTTCCAGATGCCAGCAGATGAATCACAGTAATTGCTGTATGGTCCTTTGTGGTCTGTCACTTCCATCTGTCACTTCCATCTGTCACTGTTCTGCCATACATCTAACTGAGCTAGGGCCAAAATCTTACAAGTAAGCACTCCCCCTCTAAATTCAGTATCCAGAACTCTCTATCAATCAGGAAAAGACCCATAATGGCCTTTAAAAATATTCCAGTGTCTTAAATTCTAGTCAAACTTGCCATTTGTTCTTTTTTTTCTCCCTTCTTTTAGATAACAGCCAAGAAATCTTCATTAATCTCTCTATTGTTTATACTTTATTGAAGGTTTCTCCTTCATCTTGATTTTCTGGAAAAAAGTTGGTACAGAGGGTGTAGAGAAAGATACAAGTAGAGTTTGCTTACTAATTCTGAAGCTTATAAGAACCGTAGTGGTTATAGTAGGCTCACAGAAATTCCAGAGGGAAAATAGGTATCCATTTTGTGGCCTATGTGAGAAGATAGGTGGTTTCATAAAATGATAATGTATGTAATTATTGCTGATTGCTCCTGTGTACTTCTGTTTGAAAACTAAAACTGTGAAGAAATATGTTAATTAGAATATTTTGTTTCTAGAGAATTATTTTTTCCACAATTAATTGCTTTTGGTATTATAACAAGATGTCTAAGAGATAGTAAAAGTAAAAATAATTTGTCTTGGTATTTTAGTCATTTTTCTTCAAACTTTTTAGTTTTGAATAGTGTTTGGTAGAAACATATACATATGTTCTTTTGTTCTTTGAGTTACTACATTTATTACCTTCATATACATGGATATGACCCCCAAGTGAATAACTCTAGTCCTACCTGATCATCTGATCTCCACAACCTTGACTGTAACTGTTTTACAAAATTAGGATTCTGTGTGTTGCAATGTTTTAAAAAAGTTGAATTAAACCGGGTGCAGTGGCTCACGCCTATAATCCCAGCACTTTGGGAGGCCGAGGCAGGTGGATCACGAGGTCAAGAGATTGAGACCATCCTGGTCAACAAGGTGAAACCCCGTCTCTACTAAAAATACAAAAATTAGCTGGGTATGGTGGTGTGCGCCTGTAGTCCCAGTTACTCGGAGGCTGAGGCAGGAGAATTGCTTGAACCCAGGAGGCGGAGGTTGCGGTGAGCCAAGATTGTGCCATTGCACTCCAGTCTGGGTAACAACAGTGAAACTCTGTCTCAAAAAAAGGTTGAATTAATAAATTTGTATCAAATAGGACATATTATACACCTCATTCCTTTTCAGATATTTTATATGTAACGCTGTAGTTTTAAAACTTACATATAATAATCAACCCATCCATTTCATTAGTTTCAACAAATGTATTGAGCAACCACCAGCACAACCAGGGTACAAAATGGTTCCCTTAACTCTGTCGTCATACTCTTTTTGGTCATACTTTCTCCCCATCTCTAAAGTCTGACAACTATTTATTTCTTTTCTCTCCTTATAGTTTTGGCTTTTAAACAATGTCATATAAATGCAGTGAAACCATATGTAACTTACTGAGTTGAGTCTCACTTCTTTCACTTAGCATATGTATTTGAGCTTAATTCACATTGCTGTATATATCAATAGATTTTTCTTAATGCTGAATAATAATCTTATGGATGCATCACATAATGCTTTACTGAACCCATAGGAGGATATTTTGTTTGTTTCAAGATTTTGTGACTATAAATAACACCTGTATAGGCAAAGACTCAACAAAAAAGGAAAACTTCAGGCCAATATCCATGATGAACATAGATGCAAAAATCTTCAATAAAATACTGGCAAACCGATTGCAACAGCACATCAAAAAGCTTATCCACTGGCCGGGCGCGGTGGCTCACACCTGTAATCCGGGCATGGTGGTGCGTGCCAGTAGTCCCAGCTACTCAGGAGGCTGAGGCAGGAGAATTGTCTGAACCCAGGTGGTGGAGGTTGCTGTGAGCCGAGATCATGCCATTGCACTCCAGCCTGGATAATGAGCGAAACTCTGTCTCAAAAAAAAAAAAAAAGCTTATCCATCATGATCAAGTAGGCTTCATCCTGGGGATGCAAGGCTGGTTCAACATACGCAAGTCTGTAAACGTTATCCATCACATAAACAGAACCAAAGTCAAAAACCACATGATTATCTCAATAGATGCAGAAAAGGCCTTCGACAAAATTCAACAGCCCTTTATTGTAAAAACTCTCAATAAACTAGGTACTAACGGAACATATCACAAAATCATAAAAGCTGTTTACGACAAACCGACAGCCAGTTATCATACTGAACAGGCAAAAACTGGAAGCATTTCCTTTGAAATCTGGCACTAGACAAGGATATCCTCTCTCACCACTCTTATTGAGTATGTTATTGGAAGTTCAAGCCAGATAAATCAGACAAGAAAAAGAAAAGGTATTCAATTAGGAAAGGAGGAAGTCAGATTGTCTCTATTTGTAGACAACATGCTTGTATATTTAGAAGACCCCATACTCTCAGCCCCAAATCTCATTAAACTGATAAGAAACTTCAGCAAAGTCTCAGGATACAAAAGCAATGTGCAGAAATCACAAGCATTTCTATACATTGATAACAGACTTAAAGAGAGACAAATATGAGAGAATTCCCGTTCACAATTGCTACAAAGAGAATAAAATACCTAGGAATAAAACTAACAAGGAATGTGAAGGACCTCTTCAAGGAGAACTACAAACCACTGCTCAATGAAATAAGAGAGGACACAAACAGATGGAGAAACATTCCATGTTCATGGTTAGGAAGAATCAATATCATGAAAATGGCCATACTGCCCAAAGTAATTTACAGACTCAACGCTATCCCCATCAAGCTACCAATGACCTCCTTCACAGAACTGGAAAAAACTACCTAAAATTTTATATGGAACCAAAAGAGAGCCTGCATAGCCAAGTCAATTCTAAGGAAAAAGAACAAAGCTAGAGGCATCACGCTACCAGAATTTAAACTATACTACAAGGCTGCAGTAATCAAAACAGCCTGGTACTGGTACCAAAACAGAGATATAGACCAATGGAACAGAACAGAGGTCTCAGAGGCAACACAATATATGTACAACCAGACGATCTTTGATAAACCCAACAAAAACAAGCAATGGGGAAAGGATTCCCTGTTTAATAAATGGTGTTGGGAAAACTGGCTAGTTATGTGCAGAAAGCAGAAACTGGACCCCTTCCTGACACCTTACACTAAAATTAACTCCAAATTGATTAAAGGCTTAAACATAAGACCTAACACCATAAAAACCCTAGAAGGAAAGCTAGGCAAAAACCATTCAGGACATGGTCATAGGCAAGGACTTCGTGACTGAAACACCAGAAACATTGGCAACAAAAGCCAAAATAGACAAATGGAATCTAATTTTACTCCAGAGCTTCTGTACAGTAAAAGAAACAATTATTAGAGTGAACTGGCAACCAACAGAATGGGAAAAAAATTTTGCAATGTAGCCATCTGACAAAGAGCTAATATCTAGAATCTACAAAGAACTAAAACAGATTTAGAAGAAAAAAAAACGCATTCAAAAGTGGGTGAAGGATGTGAACAGACACTTTTCAAAAGAAGACATATATGAGGCCAGCAAACATGAAAAAGTGCTCATCACTGGTCATAAAAATGCAAATCAAAACCACATTGAGATGCCATCTCACACCAGTTAGAATGGCAATAATTAATTCTGGAGACAACAGATACTGGAGAGGATGTGGAGAAAAAGGAACATTTTTACCCTGTTGGAGGGAGTATAAATTAGTTCAACTACCGTGGAAGACAATATGGTGATTTCTCAAGGATCTAGAAATAGAAATACCATTTGACCCAGCAATACCATTACTGGGTATATACCCAAAGGATTATAAATCATTCTTTTATAAAGACACATGTACATGGATGTTCATTGCAGCACTGTTTACAAGAGCAAAGACCTGGAACCAACCAAATGCCCATCAGTGATTGATAGACTGGAGAAAGAAAATGTGGCACATAATACACCATGGAATACTATGCAGCCATAGAAAATGATGTATTTGTGTCCTTTGTAGGGACATGGATGAATCTGGAAACCATCATTCTCAGCAAACTGACAAAAGAACAGAAAATCAAACACCACATGTTCTCACACATAGGTGGGCATTGAACAATGTGAATACATGGACATATGGAGGGGAGCATCACACACTGGGTTCTGGTGGTGGAGAGGGCTAGGGGAGGGACAGCAGCAATTAGGGAGGTTGGGGAGGGATAACACAGGGAGAAATACCAGATACAGGTGAAGGGGGGATGGAGGCAGCAAACCACATTGCATGTATGTACCTATGCAACAATCTTGCATGATCTGCACATGTACCCCAGAACCTAAAGTACAATTTAAACATAATGAGAAATACTTGCTTTTTTAAAAGCCTGTATAAGCATTCATGTTCAGGTATTACATATTTTATATGATCATACATTTCCATTTTTCTAGAGTAAGTACTTGGGAATGTCAGGGGAGAATAATATGAAAAGTACACATTTAATGTTATGAAAATTTTTTGCCAGATATGGTGAATGCCTGTAGTCCCAGCTACTTCTGGGACTCTCAGCTGAGGTTGAGGACTTGAGTCCAGGAGTTAGAGTACAGTGTGGGCAACACAGTGAGAACCTGTCTCTTAGAAAAATTACTAAGGTGTTTTACTGTTTTTCAGAATATTACTCTTCTGCATTATGCTAGAAATGTATAATTGATAGTTGCTTCCCGCCTACAATAGCACTTACTGTTCTTGTTTTTATATTAGCCATTCTCATAGGTGTGTAATGGCAGCTTATGTGGTTTCAATTTTTTCCCCCTAGTTACTAAAGAGATTGGACATCTCTTTATGTCCTTGTTTGCTATCCATATAGCTACTTTGGTGAATTGCTTTTGCTGGTGTTAGAGTTCAGAGGCACTGGGATTGATTAAAAAAAATTCAAAAAATTTTAAGTGTAGATATCTGTGAAGAAACAAATTGTTCTCACAGTCCTCTGGTCCTTCAGTGGTTATAGTCACAGAGATACAAGATGGAGAAGAGTGTGATTCTTTGCATCTGGCAGTTTTAACTTTTTGAAAGAGAGAGAAAAGGAATGAAGAAGAGGAAAAAAGAGGAAGAGGAAGAGGAGGAGGGAGAGAGAACGGGAGTGTTTAGTTGCCCAGGCTAGAATGCAGTCTAAAAATGGGTATTGAAAACCTCCCTTATACCATCAATCGTACTTAATAATGGCCAACCAATATTTCATTTAAACCTGTGAGTAGGTGTGATGTGGTACTGATAATAGTGCATATCTTGTGTGTTTTAAGTGGAGAGTTCTATAAATGTTTATTAAGTTTACTTGTTCTGGATCTGAGTTCAAGTCCAGGATATCCTTATTAATTTTCTGTCTCATTGATCTATCTAATATTGATGTTGAAATCTCCCATTACTACTGTGTGGGAGTCCAAGTCTCTTTACAAGTCTTATATATCCTGTATTGGGTGGGTACACATCCAGGATCGTCAGCTCTTCTTGTTGCATTGGTCCTTTTACCAATATGTCCTCTTTTGATCTTTGTTGCTTTAAAATTCATTCCATCAGAGGTGAGAATGGCAACCTCTTTTATTTATTTATTTATTTATTTTTTCTTTCCATTTGGTTGACAAATCTTTCTCCATCCCTTTGTTTTGACTCTTTACGTATCCTTGCATGTAAGATGGGTCAGGATGCAGCATACCGATGGGTTTTGGCTGTATCTTTTGATTGGGGGATTTAGTCAATTTAAATTTAAAATTATTGCCATTTGATATTAGCTGGCTATTTTGCCCAATAGTTGATATAAATTCTTCATTATGTTGATACTCTTTACTTTTTGGTATATTTTTAGAAAGGCTAATACTGGTTGTTCCTTTCTATGTGTAATGAATGCTTCTTTCAGAGGCTCTTGTAAAGCAGGCTGGTGGTAATGAAATCTCTGAGTACTTGCTTATTCACAAAAGATTTTATTTTTTCTTCAGTTGTAAAGCTTAGTTTGGCTGGATGTGAAATTCTGGGTTGAATTCTTTTCTTTAAGGATGTTGAATATTGGCCCCCACTCTCTTCTGGCTTGTAGGGTTTCTGTTGAGAGATCTGCTGTGAGTCTGATAGGCTTCCCTTTGTTGGTAACCTGGCCTTTCTCTCTGGCTGCCCTTAGTATTTTCTCCTTTGTTTCAACGCTGGTGAATCTAATGATTATGTGCTTTGGGGTTGCTTTTCTTGGGGAATATCTTTGTGGTGTTCTCTGTATTACCTGGAGTTGAATACTGTCCTGCCTTGCTAGGTTGGGAAAGTTTTCCTGAATAATATCCTGAAGAATATTTTCCAGCTTGGATTCATTCTCTTCATCGCATTCAGGTACACCTATCAAACATAGATTAGGTCTTTTCACATAGTTCCATATTTCTTGGAGACTTTGCTCATTCCTTCTTATCCTTTCTACTCTATTCTTGTCTTCTCGTTTTATTTCATGAAGTTGATCTTCGACCTCTGATATCCTTTCTTCTGCTTGATCAATTCGGCTGTTAAAACTTGTGCATACTTCGCGAAGTTCTCGTGTTGTATTTTTCAACTCCATTAATTCACTTATATTCCTCTCTATATTATCTATTCTTGTTAGCATTTCATCAAACCTTTTTTCAAGGTTCTTAGTTTCTTTGCATTGGGTTAGAACAAGTTCCTTCAACTCCCAGAAGTTTCTTATCATCCACCTTTTGAAGCCTGTCTCTGTTAATGGAACACAGTCTTTCTCCATCAGGCCTTGTTCCATTGCTGATGAGTAACTGTAGTCCCCTGTAGAGGGAGAGGTGTTCTGATTTTGGGTATTCTCAGCCTTTTTAGGCTGATTTCTTCCCTTCATTATAAATTAATCCATCTGTCGTGTTTGTAAATACTGCCTTTCTAATTAGGTTTCTGAGTGGACGTCCAATTTGTTTATTCCCAGTGCCAGAATCTGAGCAACCCACTGCGCCGGCTAAAACAGTGGTGTTAAGATTGATGGTGCTTTTCTGACTCTGCACCAAAAACTGCTGTGTCAAGGCACCAGCAAAACCGCCGCGCTGGCCACAGGGGTTGCAGTGGCGACCTGTAGGGCTCCTCCGCTGGGAATTTTCTGGTCCATGAGCAACAAAAATTCGCCTAAAACTGTGGCGTCCTCTCGTTTTCTGCACTTTCACTGGGAGCCACAATCCCGAGCTGCTAACGATCAGCCATCTTGGATCTCTCTCAATTTTAACTTTTTCATTAGTGATGAAGAATGAGCTAGAATAATGCATGCCCTTAGAGTAAATATTCACTCTACTGAAAGATTTTTTTTAAAAAAGTAATGTACACAAAAATGTAGTTAAAAGTGGAATCACTTTAACTGAAACAGTATGTTGAGAGAAGGTGACTTTTAATCTGTTAATATTATACTTATTTTAAGGTAGAATACTTTAGAGAGTACTGTGACTTGGGTTTATATTATGTTTAAAGCTGATCAGTTTAAGTCTTCAAAGTAGCGTGTTCTCAAATTGTCCAGTTTTAAAACTTTATGTATATTTGCAAATTAATTTATGTAACTTTAATGTTAAGACTTTGCATCTAAGAACCATTTTCACTGCTTTCCATGGACTGTCTAAAGTGCAGTACATTTCCACTGGGCCATATGAGCCTATAACCGTGTTTATTGTTGCTCAGTAAACAACAAAATCTCTCTCTTCCCTCAGCTGGAGATGTGAGGTGTATCTTCTAATTGGTGAAAATAATGTGTGGAAGTATTTGCAGTTTAGTTGTTTTGTCCCTTCTCTCTGACGAAGAGTAGGATGGATAAAATAGATTATTTTTATATTAAATTTAGCTGTTTGCTGAATAATGTAACGGTTCCTTTGAAGCCTTACTTGGAAAATACTAACTGAAAGATATAAATACTCTAAATAATTCAGAACCTTTTGACTTGTCTTTACAGAATTACATATAAATATCCATGTGCTACATGAAAAAATAGAAGTTATGACATCTAAATATATTGTGGTTCATTGGGTTCTTTCTGCCAAAAAAAAATTAGAATTGGGTAGTTCCTTTAATTCTATAACTCGGTTTCTCTTTCTTCATCATTTAATGCCTTTTCATTATGAATATGCTTAAGAGAGTGGTAACTATTAATTTGTAATTATTTTTTAATTGGAAGTGGGTTTTTTGCATGAGTCAGCAAACTACACCCATTGGCCAAGTCTGCCGTTTGCTTATTTCTCTAACTACAGTTTTATTAGAATGCAGCCAGTCTTGGTTGTGTTGTCGTTGGGGCTGCTTTCATGCTCCAACAGCAGAATTAAGGAGTTGTGACGCAAACCATATGATCCACAAATACTATCTGCCTCTTTACAGAAGAGATTTGTTGACCCCAACTTCATAAGATGATATTTCCCCCCATGCTTACAATTTTTCCAGAACCCAGTTATGAATTACATCAGTATGATGCTATTGGGCGATCCCCTGTTTGCACTGAAAGTATGTTTTCAATGTGTCTTGTAATTGGAATCATACAGTTTGTGGCCTTTTTGATCTGACTTCTCGTAGTTAACTTTTTTTGAAGTGTGTAAGGAAGTCTTTCCTCACAGATCACAAAGGCAGTGTTTTCCTCTATGTAATTTTATATATTATCATTTACTTACCTTCCATGTTTGCAAATTTTAACCCGTCAGGAGTCTCAATTTTTATATTGTTTTAGGTAGCAGTTGAGTTTTTTCTCAATATAGTGAGCTACTTGTTTCAATGCCATCTATTAACGAGTGTTTTTAAATAAATACAGGTAAAATTTTTATTGAGTGTATTAAATATATAAGCATAGTTTAACTTTAGATCATGGCTGTTAATATTCTATTCAGTAGTATGGAATATCTCTTAATCTATTGTGTCTTCCTTAGGCCTGTTAAAAGGCTTGTAACCTTTTTTTCTGTAGGGATCAGTGAATACTTGGTTAACTAATTCCTACATAGCTTTTTGCTTTTGTGAGTGCTCTCTCATTTTATCATATTCTATAAATATAAATTGCAAAATTAGAGTACCATTGATTTTTACAAATTGATCTTTTATTTGGGCATCTTGTACTCTCTGATTAGTTTTAAGTTTATTTAGTAGTTTTTCTAAGTGGACCATGTAATAGGTTGCAAAGAGTAACAATCTTATTCTTCTTTCAACATGTTCCATATGTTATTTCATTTTCCTTTCTTAGAACGTTTACTAGGATTTGCTCAATACCTTAAATGTAGTGGTAAGAGTAGAAATACTTGTCATATTATCTCTCACTATAAAAATGCTCAGATATTATTAAGTATAGTGGTTGTTCCAGGTTTAGGTCTCAAACATATAACAATGGAATACTTTTTTTCCAGAATACCAATTAGCACATTCCCCAGAAGATGTAGATACTGCATTTGACTGATGAATTTATTCCTAGCCTTCATTAGAATCACTGGAGGAATTTAGTGAAATCTGGGCTTTAGCCCTAGAGTTTTTCATTGAATTGGTCTGCGTTAGGACCCCTCTAGCTGTGGACCCAACCTCAGAACAATGATCACCAAGCTCCTTAGTTTCTACTTTGCCCAGTCTTCTTGTATAATTGCAGAGGGGAAATTCTGCAGTGTCTCTACCACCATATTTATGGTGGGGAAGTAATCGAGAAAAAATTTCTAGTACTTATCAAGTAAAAAACGTGCAGGAGGTGGAACAGCAGTCACATTGCTTGTTTGGGGAAGGAAGCAAAGAAAGCATGCTTTGGTAAGCTGAGGTGAACCATAGGGAACTGAAGTGACATTTTTGATAGAAAATGAGGAAAAATACAAGTTTTTTTTTTTTTTGAGACGGAGTCTTGCTCTGTCGCCATGGTGGAGTGCAGTGGCGCAATCTCGGCTCACTGCAACCTCCGCCTCCTGGGTTCAAGCGATTCTTCTGCCTCAGCCTCCCGAGCAGCTGGGACTACAGGCCCGTGCCACCACACCTAGCTAATTTTTGTGTTTTTAGTAGAGACGGGGTTTCATCATGGCAAGGATGGTCTCAATCTCTTGACCTCATGATCCGCCGGCCTCCACCTCCCAAAGTGCTGGGATTACAGGTGTGAGCCACCACGCAAATACAGTTATTTGTAACATAGTTCACCTTTACTATGTGTCTAAACCACTGGAAAACATTGATATCACAGTTATTAAAAGGATTGGGGCCGGGCGCGGTGTCTCACGCATGTAGTCCCAGCACTTTGGGAGGCCGAGGCGGGTGGACCATGAGGTCAAGAGATCGAGACCATCCTGGTCAACATGGTGAAACCCCGTCTCTACTAAAGATACAAAAACTTAGCTGGGCATGGTGGCGCGTGCCTGTAATCCCAGGTACTCGGGAGGCTGAGTCAGGAGAATTGCCTGATCCCAGGAGGCGGAGGTTGCGGTGAGCCGAGATCACGCCATTGCACTCCAGCCTGGGTAACAAGAGCGAAACTCCGTCTCAAAAAAAAAAAAAAGGATTGCTTGAAGAGGGATGTCAGTGAACAAGTGTACTTATTAAAATGTGTAATATACTGCAAGTGTCAATGTGCAGATCCTCTGAGAGAAAGAACTTATTTTTAAGAGCAAATGTGTTCTTTGTTCTAAACAACATTTCTTAGAAAATACTTTTGATCTACTTAGTGAGTTGGAAAAATTTTGAGTTTAAAAATCAACAAGATACATTCGAAAACACAACAGTAAAGTAAAAAGAAAGTTAAGTAGTATAGAAACATAGGAAACATTTATATTTTATTGTGTAAATTTTAATATCAATTAGCTTTTTAATCATAAAGGTCCGAGCAGTCAATGTTGAGTTGCATAAAAGGTTAAAGAAACATTTTAAATGTTTGCTATACAGGTGCTTCCACTAAGAGATTTAAAAATAATGTCTTTCTGCCAAAAACTCATCCTGTAATGATTTTCACAAGGTATCGGGTTTCCAATATTTCTCCTTTGGTGGCTCATGTCTGAGTTTGCTGATTAATTATGTACAATTTTAATCATTTACTTTCTGCCCTGGAGAAGGAAACAGAAGACTTTGGGCAACTAACACTGTTTAGGAGCTATGACAGTCTATTTTATAAATTAAAGTAATCACATTCTACTTTTAGATGATTTGTGATTTATACTTGTATATTTTATTTGTTTATAATAGTCTATAGCCTAAAAATTCACTTTAATATGTATTAAAACTGCAACTCATTTGCACCAACCTAACAGATTAATTAGTAATGCTAGCTGCTGGTCATGGAATAATGTAGAGCTCCCTAAACTCAGTGTATTTTATCTACCAGGAATATCTAAATTATTTACAGTTTAATATTAGCAATTGTTTTCCTCTTCCTCTTCCCTCAGTACAGTGCTGCTTGTTTTCTGGATCTAAGGAGAGTTGTTTTCCATTGTCTAAGTAGTCAAAACAATTGTTGTTGGAAATAACCTCATTTTAGCCAATTGTCCAGAAGAAGTGTATGACTTTATTTCCTGATACAGTCTATGAGAGAGACACTAGTAAAACAGTGATAGAGGGTAGCACAAGAAGATCTTCAGTTCAAGTACAGTTATGCTAGGACAACAGAGTCACACCATGAGTTAGTTGGGCAATGTCTCATTGAATGCATATATATTTTTTCTTGAATATAAAGCCTTACAATCTCATGCTCCAGCTGCCTACATTCTAGTCTGAGTAAGAGCATTCTCCTATGAACACTTAGTATGTTGTAAAACAATAAAACAAGGCAATCACTTTAACAGTTTGAGAAATATTTCATTTTGGTATTCACCTTCCTGGCACACAGCTTTAGATTATGATTAGCAATGTTTGTGAGACTTTATTGGACAGAATTTAAGGCAAACAAGCCTATAGCTGGAGCTCATTTTGTCTTTCTGTTTTTGTTTCTTCAAATGGAATAATTTTTGACCTCATTAATTCCTGTTCTTTTCCATTTAATTAATGTAGTACATGTACTTTTGAAAGTTCTCCTGTAATATTTTCCTCCATTTTAATTGTATCTTACCTTTTATTAGTTAGGGAGGATATAAGCTAGGTATTGGAATGGAAATAAAATGTAATTCCCATGATCTTTTTTATTTATGTAAGACAGGCATGATGTTTCAATTCTGCCAGCTAAGGAGAATAAAAGTTCTTATTACTGAGAGTTGGATTTCAATTTCCTAAAAATATCACATTCCTAAACTTTCCTGACAAATTTCCCATATACTTTGACAATGTCTGCAATTCCTTAAGAGTATGGGGTTGTGATTTTGACAAGCCCCTTCAGGGACCATTGGTTTTCCAGGTACCCTCAGCCAAATCTAATGGTAATTGCTTGAGTAGTTATCATCACCTCATTTGTTGAGAAACTTTACTTTCATTAACAGTTGTGTAAATAAAGCCAGATAGTATACATTTCTTTTTCTTTTAGCATGTTTATTGGTTAACCTAACCTTCAGTCTGGCTAAAATTGAACAAAATAATTTATTTGTATGGTCACTGAGTTTCTTTTTTAGAATTCTGGATAGATACCCTAATATTTCTGGTTGAATGGAGTTAGAATTCTTGTTTTGACTACAACTGTATTGTTTTCATGAGAATATCCATGTCTCTTCTCTCTTCAATGACATGTTAATGGTGTGTGTGTGTGTGTGTGTGTGTGTGTGCGTGTGTGTTTTACTCAGTGTCTTGAGTCAGTTTAGGTTCTAACATATTTGGACTTAGACTGAAAACACTGACACTAGGTATGAAAATATGGACTATAAATTTAATAGCTTTATCTTCATCATATAAATCTATTTCAATTTAATACCAATAATACTGGTTTGTATATAAATGTTCCTTATATCTTCCTATTCACTTAATTTTACAATTTTAGGTTAACTGTTTAAAAATACATTTATAGCAAACCAAGTTGTAAGAAGTATTTATCGGTATCTAAAGTGAGCAACTAACTTGGCAATGAATATGAATGATCTCTACTAAAAATCCAAAAATGTTAGCTGAGCGTGGGGGCACACACCTGTAGTCTCAGCTACTCAGGAGGTTGAGGCAGGAGAATTGCTCAAACCCAGGAGGCTGAGATTGCAGTGAGCTGAGATCACGCCACTGCACTACAGCCTGGGTAACAGTGCGAGACTCTGTCCCAAAAAAAATAAAGTCCTGAAAAGTCATCAAGGGAATTTACACTTGGCACAGTAGCTAGTAAGGAGGCTCTGGAGATTGTCAAGTAGGACAATGTATTTTTAACCAATTGATAATGAGAATTACAGAATGTACTTCCCTTATAGCTTGTTAAAAATAGTTTAGGCTGGCCACTTGTGGTGATTCACGCCTATAATCCTAGCAGTTTGAGAGGCTGAGGTGGGTGGATTGCCTGAGGTCAGGAGTTGGAGACCAGCTTGGCCAACAAGGTGAAACCCCATCTCTATTAAAAATACAAAAATTAGCTGGTGGTGGTGGTGGTGTGAGCCTGTAATCTCAGCTACCTGGGAGGCTGAGGTGGGAGAATCACTGGAACCTGGGAGGCAGAGGCTGCAGTGAGCTGAGAGCATGGCACTGCACTCCAGCCTGGGTGACAGAACAAGACTCCATCTTAAAAACAATAACAACTTTAGGCTGTAGCAACAGTATTAAAAATCTTCATGCAACTGTCTCCTAATGCTGTCAAAAAGAGCCATTTAAATATTTGTCAGTTGCATCACCTTTATTCTGAGACTGTACAAATGAGAACAGGTTAAACTGGTGTAATTAACAAAGACTGCTGAAAAAAAAATCCACACAGGTCTGACTTTGTGTACCACCAGTGGTGTTATAACAGTTAAGAGGTAACAAATAAAGGAGCAGCCATAAAATGTTCATGTTTAGATAGAATATGATCAGAGGAATGCTGTCCTTTCAAATAAGGAACCTTTAATGTAGGCATTTGGAGCTATTTAAATGAAGGAAGAGCTAAGACAAAGTTGTTAGAACTCCATGGTCTTTTTCAACCTGAAGATTTTGCAGGTTGAAAAGGGTTATGAAAGGTTATAGTACACCTAGCAAGACCTCTGGAGAACTGCATCTGACCAGTTCTACCAACATGAGCTATGCCACCTTTTTATATTTGAGTGCTGATAATTTTTATAACAACACTCTAACCGGGAGTGGATGGGGTGGAAAGAGAAAGCAAGGGGGAAGAAAGGAATTATGATGCTTTCATAACCTCATTCTAAATATCTTATAAAGAAAAGACTGTTTTTGAGTTTGCATTTGCATGTGGCTTCCATCTGACAATGAACATGTGAGAGTTAATTATTGACTTCTCCTCACGTGTGGTGGTTCCATACAGACATTGCTGCTGAAGCATATATGGTCTTATATTATTTTCCAGTGACAAGAGCAATGTATGGTATTGACCTAGTTACTGGAACTGATGATAACTGAACATATTTTATAGATGTGGCTGTTTCCTCCCAGATGGAAAAATTTAAGTGTCTGGGTTTAGTTTGTGAGACGAATGTAAATATATCAAGCTTCTAGTATTGTTGCTAGTTTGCTTGCTGTATAATCTAAACAGATCATTTAATCTCTTAATGTTTCTCCTTTATCTTATAATCATAAATAAAAGCTTACAGATGATATTAATTTAAAATGTCCACAATGGTTGTTTTTTTCTTGGAGGAGTTTAGGAGAGATGCATAGAGAAAAATTATAAATCTTAAATTTAGATGTGAAAGAGAATATGTAAGAAAATAGACTTATAAAATTACTCTAAAGTGGCCTTCATAGTCTATTGTATGTTAGGTTTTTAAATGTATTCTGCTATATTTTCCATAAATAAAATTAAGGAAATTAATTAAACATAATTAAACAGTCTTTTAATAATAACCTCAAAATGCATTATATATTTCTCAATCACTAAAATCCCAGCTAGGTTTAGTAGACTGCAAAAGCAGAGTGTAGACAAATGTATTTTGAATAATTTTCAAGAAAAAGATCTGAAGTAAAAGTTTTTCTTATACCGCTTTCAGGCCCAATCCCTGGGATGTCCTATCCCTGGGATGACTGGTCAACTGAATGATTACCCATGGAGAAGAGTGTGGATTAAGCTTAATGGTGTGCACATGTAGCTAGGCAATTGTGTAGTAATATATTATAAGCATCCATGAGGGAACTTGGAGGCCGATGATCTGGTTTTGATCTTGGCTCTGTGACCAGTTAGCATGACTATGGGCAGGTTACCTACAACTCTTTGGGCTTTGCTTTCCATATCTTTGAAACTGGAATAAAAACAGCACTTTCCTTAGGGTTGCTGCATTAAGTGTTAAACTCGTAAAGTGTCTGGCAAAATGTAAGCTAAAGAAATAGTATCTGTGATCATTATTATTAGGATATGAATGCAGATCTTACCAGGAAGGTGAACCCGTAGTATTTGAGAGGGTGTCCTAGGCCAACTTGTGAAGAGTGGGGAAAATAATCGAGGGCAGAGTCCTAAGGAATCCAGCATTTAAGGGACAAGTAGAGAAATGAGGACATGCTGAGAAGTAACCATACTCATAGGAAGAAAATCAGACAAGTATGATATTGTAGAAACAAAGGAAAAGAACATATCAAGAAAAAAGAATCGGTTAACATTACTAAATACCACCCCTCAACCCCAAAAAGCAGTTTGTAACATTTCATACCTCCACATGCCACCATTAGGCTATATTTTTATAGATGAACTTCTCTGTCTAATGTTCCTATCTTAAAGGGTGATTGGTGTTCTTAAAGTTGGCTGGTGCAGGGAAGACTAATTTCCAAAGTTACCTAGTAAAAGATAAAGCATTTGCTTAAGTAGGAAAGTTGTAGCAAAGTAGGAAAGTGGTGACCTTTGACCAGAGCTGTTACAGTGTAGTTGTTAGGGAGAAACCAAATGGCAGGAAGTAATAGTCTATGCGCTGGAAAAATGACGGTATTTGTGGAGGAGAGGAGGAAGGTATGCAGCTGACAGGTGTGGATCTGTGTTGTTTTAAGATGGGAAAACATGCTAATGTTAAGGAGACATTAAGAAGGTGGCAGTATGGGTTAGAAAGGGTCTTGTGTAATGATAGCTAATGGCTTAGGATACAGAGCATTGGTCAGTGGTGAGCCTGAAAGAGGGAGACTGCTGGGTTATAACAGTGCAAGGAGACGAGTTTTGGTAACAACGAGTTGAAGATTCTAATGGCTAACAGTCTCTTTGAAACAGAGATGTCCATTTTAAGGAGAAAGATACAAACTCAGTCTCCAGTAAGAAGTGTTATACCACTAGGTATTTTTGGAGTAAAATTTGATAGCAATAGAGGCAATCAATCTAATTGAAAACTAACAGAAATTGGATATTAAATATAATTCTACCCTGTATTTATACTGTTAGGTATATTCGAAGGAGCTAGGATCTCTTAAGTAATGAAATATTTCACATGTAACAGAAGAAACTGGAACTCTGTTTAGTAGTGTTAAATGATTTAGAAGTTAGTCAAACTTCAAGAGAAATTAATGTAATATAACAATTTATAGAAAACACCAACATGGTGAAGTTTTACCAGATAGTTGTTTTTTCGTATCTTTGCATTTATGCATTGTCTTTTCTATAGGGCCATATAACATGTCTGTTCTGTATAAAAATTGGTTTATCTTTGCTAGCAAATCATTTATAAACATAAAATAGAATGCTAAGTTTTTAATATCAGTTTGATAAACTTTGGTATTCAGAGGTTTTTTTTGTAGTTCAGAAGATACTTGTCATTATAAAGATTAATATTTGCTAGTTTTAAAAGGTCTTCCTTGAGGATCTATTGAAATATGATAAAAATGTAGTATTTCTAGGACTATACAAAGATTTGCACTTTTCTCATGCCTGATACTGTACCAGTTAGGGGAAAGAGCTAATTGCTTTTTGTTCTTTGCTTTGTAAACAAAGAGTTTACAAAATGCAGTGGTTCAGACAAGATAGAGGTTTATTTTTCTATTTAATGACAGTCAAGGTAGACTGTCCAGGGCAGTTAGGAACTCTTCTTCATGTAGTAGTGGCTCTCCCAATTTTATTATTTTATTTTTTTGGAGACAGTCTTGCTCTGTCCCCTAAGCTGGATTCTAGTGTGATCTCAGCTCACTGCAGCCTCTGCTTCCTGGGTTCAAGTGATTCTCATGCCTCCACCTCCCAAGAAGCTGGAATTACAGGTGCTTGCCACCATACCTGCCTAATTTGTGTATTTTTAGTAGAGACAAGATTTTGCCATGTTGGCCAGGCTGGTCTTGAACTCCTGACCATAGGTGATCCACCCCACTTAGCCTCCCAAAGTGCTGGGATCACATGTGTGAGCCACTGCACCTGGCTGCTCTCCCAGTTTTTAATGCATAACTTTCAAAGTCATTGGTTGTAACCACCCTAAATGGTGGTGAAAAGAACAGAAGCCTTGGCCACGGATTTCCTCTTAGGCAAGTTAAACAGAAGTTGGTCACATATTTTATGAAAATCAGTTCAGTTTATAGACAATTGCAAAAGAAGTATAGCTAAAAAGCAAATAAAAACAAAACACACAAAGAAGTTGGTTACATAATTTTTCCTTGTATTCTGTTGGCAATGAGGGATTAATTACATGACCACAGTTGTGCCAAAGGGGACTGGGAAACACAATTCCTAGCCAGCAGTCATGTCTCAACCATGCTTTATTGTTACGGAGAAAGGTGAAGAAAAGTCTTTAGCTGATAGATAACCAATGCCAGCACGGACACTATTGGATGTATAAGGAAAGGTATACTGTTTTAAGAGTATCTTTATACCCATTAAGATATTTTTGAAAAGTCAAATTTAGGGTTGTCACATTAATATTATACTAGTTTACTGTGTGATTGTAGATTCAATTACAATAAATGAATTTCATGCAACATCTTTTAGTGCAAAAAAAACCTTAAAGGAGAGAATACTAGTATAATATTGTGTAAAAGGCCAGTGGGTGGAAAATTTCCACCTGTCCCTGTTCTATTAATATTTTCCAATATCTTTAGGTATTTTCCTAAAGTAACTTTATTCCATTTAGAAATTTCAGTAGAAATTTATTCTCAAATATCTACTACTCCATATTGTTTTTGGAATTGGGGTTCCTACTCCCTAGAAACTTAGAATTCAGAAGGGGGAAATGTTTATAATGACAGTAATGTATAATATGTGAAATAAAAGGGTGGTACAAAGGAAAATGTTTTAGAGAAGGCCTCAAAAATAAGTGATTTCTACTCTGGGATGTAACGAATGAATAGAAATATCTACATTTACAGAAAGGGAAATCAGAGTGACACAACAGGAAGCAAGTATGGTATGTTCAAGGGCTTGGAGAACCACAAATTAATTGATTTAAGTAAAGTGAGGGACAGAGATGTGGCAAAATGTTAAGGTTTATTTGGTGCTATGCTGACAGTTCAGCAGGATCTGTTTGGTGATTTAAAACCCCTGGAATAGTTGAAAGAATTTTTGGGATGTATGTCTCTAGTCCCTTTTTTCTTAGCTTTTAAACATAAAGTATATCATTATAAAAAAGCAAACTAGCTGATTTATTACCCTCAAAATATTAAATTCAAATTTTAGGGTACAGTAATTTTTATGCAATGGTAATAGCTCAAAATAGTGAAAAAATAGTATGCCTTTCCTTCTAACCACATAAAACTTTGGTCTGCATTTTAATATGCATTATGTCCTACATCTGTTTTTCTTAAATAATAAACATAAAAAAATATAAACAGCATCCATTCTTTTTTATATTTTGAGAGGGGGTTTTGCTCTGTTACCCAGGATGGTGTGCAGTGGCATAAACGTGGCTCACTGTAGCCTTGACCTCCTATGCTCAAGTGATCCTCCTTCCTCAGTTTCTGTGTAACTATTTTTTTCTTTTTGGTAGAGACTGGGTCTCTCTTATGTAGGCAAGTTTTGAACTATTAGGCTCCAAAGATCTTCCTGCCTCAGCCTCCCAAAGTGCTGAGATTATAGGCATGAGCCCCCACAACCAGCCTTTTTTATTTTATTTTTGTCTCCTCTTTCAATTAGTCAATAAAATGAGTTTAAAGACTACATTGTGTAACTTTTGTTACCAAAAGTTTGCTAATACAGTGGTCTAAAATAAACATTCTGCTTTATTCTAAGCCATGTAAAACCATGAAGTGATTATCACATACCATTTTGGAAATGTTTCAGAAATCCAATAACATTTTTAGAGGGAAGTTGTAGATAATAGGGTAGCCACTGAAGTGGGGGGAATCAAACCAGAGAATAATGAGATCAGATTTGCTTTATAGAAAGTTCCCTTTCAGAACAGCTTGGTGGATGTTTTGGGAAGATATGGGAATAGAAAGAAATGCAAGCAAAAAGAAAGCAAGGTGAGAGATGACTAGAGCTTGAGACTTGGCTGGGATGATGGGTAGGGACGCACAGGGTAGACTTCAGACATAGTGGAAGAATTGATAGGTCTTCGAGTGTGAGGCCAAAGGAAGGGAGGAACCTGGAATTACTCTGGTTCCAAGCTAGCTGTCTGCATAGGTGGCAGTAATGTCAAGTAGAATGGGGACTGGGAGAGAGGGAGCAGCTAGAATAGGGAGCTGGAACATGTGTTTTGATTTAGCAATTTAATATTTCATTAATATAATTGCAATAATGTTCAGGATGACTTGGTTTTACCCTAATAAATACGGACTTGTAGCAGAATCATATTGTTTCCATATGAGAACCTTCTCCCAGCTCTCAGATGTCCTTCCAGGTACTTTAACTCTAGTTGCTTATCTTGCTCACTTTTGTCTTTCCAAATCAGAGTAACAGAAAGCTTATGAATTTCATTTCTCGGCTCTTTCGGGCAAAAAACAAAGTGCGGTATTTGTGTTCTGAAAGATTTCCCAATGTCTCAAAAACAAGAAATAATTCTCCTTCTGAAAATCTTCCTGCAACTTACTTCAAAGTCTTTGTTACCAAAGGAATTAAGTTAAGGCCCTTTTTCAGGCCACTAGATTGGGAGAAAAAAAAAATAACCAAAACTGCATATCATTGCTGCTAACATACTCTGCTGTGTTAGGCAAAAGATGTCACCTCTTTGGAGGTGTATTTTGCTATCTGTATTAAATCAAAATTTCTTGGGGTTGTTGACTTGATTTCGGGTGATCTACAAGCCCCTTAAAATAGTATGAAAAAATGTCTCTGCTAATGCAAGTCCTTTCCACAACAGCATCCACAGCTTTCAGCAGATTCTTAGGATTATGGGACACCCAAAAAAGTTTTTTAAGAAATGCTATTATGGTCATTTCACATGAAGACTGAATTTCTTGCCATCACTTCTGTATTTTAGTGGAGGTAAAAATATTCACCATAGCATAGAATGGGATTTTCTTAGATGTAGACCTATTACTTTACAAATTTGTTCATAAGTTGTGCCTTGTCTTTTAGTTTTTCTCTGATCTTCTGAGATGACATCAATAAAATTCCAGCATCTGGTCTCTGTGGGAGAGGTAGGAGTAGGAGCAAAGTTACAGAGAGGCTGCCAGAGAAATTCTGAGTGTGGTCAAAATTTCTACCACCTGACTCTTAAGACTAGGAGCTTATTTAGTTTTCTTCCCTTTACTCATGAACACCACCAGAAAGGATGTTAGCCCCTTGGCACAGCCCTTTGAGAAAGCTGCCAATGTCTGTACCAGACACAAAAATTGACTGCAAAGTACAAGTGTGGGCAAAACTTACCCAAGTCTTGTCTAAGATAGAACAGTGACAGTTATTAGCTAAAGCAAGTGAAATAAAATGAGCATTGTCCCTAGAGCTATTTTTAAGTCTGAACCTTGGCCAATTACCAAAACATACTTATTTTTAAGATTCTATGTAGTTTAATTAAATGGCATTTTTTTGGCTTTTGAATAACTCAGTAAATATATACGGGGTTTAGCTACATTTGCGTTGGCTTAATTTAAAAAAAAAAGATGTAGTCCTCATAAAATGTATATAGCATCTCTATTATGCTGCCCCTCCCCTTGACTTTCCCTTATAATTCTGCCATGTCCTGGATAGCAGTGCTTCTCAAGCTGAGACTAAGGAATGCTTGTTTGTTATATTTGGAAGTTAACCTCTGTTTACTGTGTTTCTTTTAAGCAACTTGTACAGTTGACTCTTGAATAATGTGGGAACTGAAGTGCTGACCCACTGGATAGTTAAAAATCCACATAAAACTTTGGACTCCCCCCACCCAAAACTTTACTACTAGTAGCATTATATTAAATGGAAACCTTATTGGTAACACAAACAGTCCATTAATGCATATTTTGTATATGTGTCAAATCCTGTATTTTTACAATAATGTTAGGTTAAAGAGAATATTATTAAGAAAATCACAAGGAGGAGAAAATATATATAGTATTCCTCAAGTGGAAGTGGATCATCATAAAGGTGTTCATCCTTATCATTTTCATGCTGAGTAGGCAGAAAGGAGAGTTGGTCTGTGTCGGGTGGCAGAGGCGGAAAGAGAGGCAAGAGAGGTGAGTTCACACAGTGTAAGCTGTATTGAAAAAAATCCTTGGATAAGTGGACCTCTGTAGTTAAAACTTATATTGTCCAAGAGATAACTGTGAACATGACCCAGCAGAGTTAATGTCTGAACCAGTGTATAGCCTGTTCAGTGACATCAACCCACTGATCACTTGCTTGAATATGGAGAGGGGGGAATATGATTTGTAGAAATTTTTGCACCTCTAAAATAAGACAGTTAATTTATGTAGACTATGACACTGATAGCTGGCCCACAGCTGTAGAAAAAGAAATAAATAGAACAATACGCAGTTAGTAGCAATACTGATATACTCAAAGGTAATGACTCATCATGAGGCCTGATGTGGTGGTTGATGCTTGTAATCCCAGCACTTTGGGAGGCTGAGGCAGCGGATCATTTGAGGTCAGTAGTTCAAGACCATCCTGACCAACATGGGAAAACCCTATCTCTATTAAAAAAAAAAAATTAGCTGGGCATGATGGTACATGTCTGTTGTCCTAGCTACTCAGGAGGCTGAGGCAGGAGAATTTCTTGAACCCAGTGGGTAGAGGTTGCAGTGAGCTGAGATCACGGCACTGCACTCCAGACTCGGTGGTAGAGTGGCATTCAGTCTAAAAAAAAAGAAACTCATCTTGAAGATTGTTATTTTTAAAAGCATTAATAAAGGGTAACTATTAAAAAGACTCATGTTTTGTTATACAGTCAACAGCAAGAGGAAATCTAATGTAATTTTCATTTCTTATCTGGGAAATCAGTCCAAGAAGATAATAATTTAACGGTGATTACTTATATAACTAATACTTGGGGATGCATTTTTTTACTCTTACATTATAACAGTTTAATTTTATTACTCTGAGTATTTATACACTCTTCTCTATACGCATTTCCTCACATTTAACATATAATTCATGAAGGAAATCAAGTCCTTAAAATTTACCCAGTGTTTCTTATAAGTGGGAGTTGAACAAAGAGAACACATGGACACAAAGAAGGGAACAACAGACATCAAGGCCTGTTAGGGGGTTGGAAGTGGGAGAGGGAACTCAGAGGATGGGTCAGTAGGTGCAGCAAACCACCATGGCACAAGTATACCTCTGTAACAAACCTGCACGTCCTGCACATGTATCCCATGTTTTTCTTTAAGAAATAAAATTACCAGGTGTTCAATAAATGTGTTTATATTTAAATTTATTGAAACAAAAACTTTTGATTCACAGTAAGGTAAGTGAAATAGTCATCCAATAGAAGTCCCAATATAACATTTTTAGACCCTCACTGGAGGGTAGTAACTGTTTTCTTGAGTATATTACAGGTCAAATGGAAAGTTACTTTTTTTTTCTATTAAAGTCAAGTTTATATAACTTACAAATTCATATAAAGTATATTTTATACTATCTGTACACATTTAATGTACATCAAACTAACATCTCATATATTTGTTATTTTAAATTTATTTCCAGTTGTATCTTGATTATAAAATACTTAGCTACTTATATATAAAATGCTAAAATGACATGGTCTCAGATTTCCATCAGATTTTATTACACTTTTCAAATGCAGAGCATCTTTTGTTTTATTACCACATTCACATTGATTATATATAATCATCCTCTATTTGTGGTGGTATAAAAATTATTTATGGAGAAATGGAGCATAGGTTCTTTGCCATTTTGAATTTCTTCAGAATCTGAAGAATTTCTGAATATTTGAAGAATATGTTGTTCAACTTGGTTAAAATTTTAATTTCATGAAATTTTGGAGGTTTTATTTGTGTACTATGTTTTCAGTCAGGAGTAACCTTATTGTGTATAATTTGCACATAGTTTTAACCCAAGACATGATAGTATATTGTAACTTCCTACAATACTTACCTGTATTTTTCTAGAAAAATTACTTTGAACATGTTTTATGTTACACTTTTCTTAAAATAGAGTCTTAAAAAATAACCTAATTAATATATGGTAAATTAGAAGATCAGACAATGTGTATAGTATTGTTTCAAAAGTATATACATGAATGTAAATACGTAAATAGAAAACATGGAAGAAATACACTTCAAAATGTTTTGGAATAAGATAATTTTATTATGTTTTAATATATTTTAAAATGTTTTTCTACCCATCTCGATGAATTTTTTTGGGATTAAGAATATATATAATCATTGGGATAGGCATAGTAACTATAGTGATATCTTCTGACTGTTGCAAGGAACAGGCAAGATAGTATTTCTACTCCTCTGTGAGCAGAGTGCCTTTGTTTACTATTGATAGAAGTAGCAAATCCTCACAACCTACATTTCCTTTACATGACTATCTCAGTTTTGAGACTGAGGGCAGTTTTGAGTAAGTACTTTTTCTGAGAAGACTCCTTTTTTAAGGTAACTGAATAGATTTTGCTAAATTGATGGTTTCAGGTAATGGTGTGTAGTTTGAAGCTCCTTTGTCATTACTTGAAATATTATCTGCCTTGGAAGAGGCAACACATTAATGAATAATGATTTATTATCTTTGACTCATTTAGTCATTGAGGTACATTGTTCCCACCTCATTTATATTGTCTAATTTTATCGGGCTACCAGTGAATCCTACTGGTGTGTTAACAAAATTCTGACCAAGAAACTATTTGATTTTTTAATTAGAGACTGCAAAACAGGCATGCTATGTTGAATGTGTCCTCCAAAAAGCCTGTACTGGGAACTTAATTTTCAATGCAACAATGTTGGGAGGTGGAGCCTAATGATAGATGATTAGTCCACGAAGGCCCTCCCTTATGAATGGATTAATGCCATTTGCCAGACTGGGTTTATTATCATGGGAGTGTGTTTCTTATAAAAAGGTCTAGTTTGGTATTTCACTCGGTCACTTACCCTCCTGCCATAGGATGACACAGTAGAAAGACCTTTGCCAGTTGCTGGAACCTCGATTCTGAACTTCCCAGCCTCTAGGACTGAAATAATTTTTTCTTTATAAACCACCCAGTCTCTGGCATTCTGTTAAGCAGCACACAATGGACTAAGAAAAGGCACCTTTCACATTTTCTTTAGCAGATGGTGTTCATTCAGGAAACGTTGCTGACTGACAGGTTTAACTCTTACTCATTTCTCTTCTTGTGCGGTGGTACTGTTTCAAAATTCTAAAACTAGCAAAATAACATGGATTTCCTGTTTTATATCATGTTTTTGATGTGAGATGAAAACAATCATTAAAAAGCCATGCTTCGTATTTTCAAAGTGTCATGGGTTTCTTTCAATTTCATTCCTAACATTTAGCATCCTCAAAATGATTATTTATCCCAGAATATCTTTAATATCCTGCAATTCATAGCAATTTGGTTAATGTTGGGGATAGCTATCCTTCTTAATAAAACAGGGAACTTTATATTTTAATAGTTAAAATAAATTTTAAAAACTAGAAAGAATGTTGCTGATTATTCTTATATTGAGGAAAAATAAAACTAATAAATTCTATTCCCGTAAATATTGTTATAGTTTTTGATAAATCTAACATTATTACAAAGGCATTTTGCTCATTTAAAATCTTCAATTATAAGAATAAAAGGTTAAGTAATGATTTTACAAAAATACTATGACTATTTAAAGTGAGAAATACCAGTTTAATTGTACACAAAATGTCTCAATGAGGTTAAAAAATAAGCTGTATCTGTAAGGACGTAAATGATAGTTTCTTTCTTTACTTTTTTTTTTTTAACTCTTGATTTTTTCACCCAGGCTGGAGTGCAGTGGCATGATCTTGGCTCACTGCAGCCTCCGCCTCCTGGGATCAAGCACTTCTCCTGCCTCTGCCTCCCGAGTAGCTGGGACTACAGGCACATGTTGCCACACCTGGCTAATTTTTTGTATTTTAGTAGAGAACAGGGTTTTACCCTGTTGCTCAGGCTGGTGGTGAATTCCTGAACTCAGGCAGTCTGCCTGCCTCGGCCTCCCAAAGTGCTGGGATTATAGGTGTGAGTCATTGTGCCCAGCCAATAGTTTCTATTAATTATATAGATGTAGTTAGAACTCAACTGTAACTTTCATGAATCAACTTCCTAGTTACCTTCAGAATTTAATTTAGAGGGATGCTACATAATATTTCTTTAAATATAAGTGATACTATGTTTGAATACCAATTTTGTAGAAATGGTACAAGATAATGGGCTCGATTCGTTCCATGTTTGCAATGTATAGTGTTATATAGATAGTGTTATGTATAGTGTTATAATTTCTCAAACCCTAATGAGAAATTAATGGTCATGGCGGAAAAAGGATATATGCATGTTTCCTATTCTTTCCCTCTATAATGCTGTTCTGGATAGTGCATTCTGTAATACTATCCTGGACTTGGTCTGTCTTTCCTTGCTGTGGCAGGATAGAGTGAAAATGTTTCAGCGTTTCAAATCTGTTACACATGAACGTGACCAAGAGGAGCCAAAACTGGCTACTCATAGCTCTTCTGAAAAGTATTTTAAAATACAGACTCCTGGGATCCATAGAATCGGAGTCAACCTGGTTCCTTCCAAAGCACTAATAACTTGGCTTATGGTGACTTGGTAAAACAAACCATATGTATATTCGTAGTACCCTACTTTTACTTTGTAATCACATTCTACATATATGTATTGGCTAAGATCATGAGTATTTTGTTGTTGGTAAAGACAATAAATTCAATGAAAATATGAATTGTACTTTCAGAGTAGAAAACGTATTTTTCCTAAGTTTTCGTGGAGGTTTTATACATTGTTTTTCATTTTTAGTTGGTACATAATGTACATTTTTGTCAGAGTAATATTTTGGTACACATATAGAATATGTAAAGATAAAACCAGGGTAATTATTGGCATATCCATCAGCTCAATCATTTATTTCTTTGTGTTAGGAACACTTAAAATCCACCTTTCTAACTTAATAAATATATGCAAAAATTATAATAGATAATGCATTCCATAATATTATCACAGACTTGGTCTGTTCAATGCACATTGGAAACAGGAGGAAATCAAGGCCATTATCTTGTATCATTATTTTGAATGCTACAAAATTTAGCATTCAAGCATAGTATCACTTATATTTAAGTGCTATAGAATGCACTCTCCCGTCTAGCTGTAATTTTCTATCTATTAACCTTTTCTCTGTTTTCTCCTGCCCACCACTACCTTTCCCAGTCTCTAATAACCAAAATTCTACCATCTACTTACATCAGCTCATTTGTTTAAGCTCTTATTTGTGAGTGACAGCATGTACTATTTCTTTTTTGTGCTTCACTTATTTCATTTAATGTCTTGAGGTTCATCCATGATTCTGAAAAATGACAGGATTTCAGTGTTTTTTAAAGACTGAATAGTATTTCATTGTGTGTACATACCACATTTTCTTTATCCATTCATCTGTTGATGGACATTTAGGTTATTTTCATGTATTTGCTGTTGTGAATAGTGTTGCATTAAACATGCGGGGGCTAGATATCTAACAATACTGATTTCCTTTCCTTTGGAAAAATAGTAGTGCAGTTGCTGGTTCATATCACAGTTGGATTTTTGATTTCTTGAGAAATTGGAGGTTGCACTTTTAAGAGGAAAAGAAAGTTATGTATAACTATGCTGAAATTATTTAATGTATATGTATAATATGTGTACATGTTTGTTTATATGTACAAGCATTTTTAACATGCTATACAAGAAATTACATTGGGGCAGATAAAGTATGTTTATAAATAATAGCTATATGAGGCTGTTTAAATAGGGACAGACAATATTGAGGCCTGGAAGAGACTGATCATTTTAGTTTGAGGTGATTGAGAAATACTTCATGGAATAGATTTCAACATCAAATTTGTTAAGACTGAAAAATGTGAAATACCACAAATTCTAAGAATGAGGGTGGGAACCAAATTATTATTGTATTAATAAAGAGGATGAAAAGTCTGACACATAGTTGGTACTAAAATATTTGTAAAATATGGATGAATGTCAAATTTTATAGGAGGTTTGTTAAGCAAGTCAAAATGCAAATGATAGAATGCTTGGGATACCTGTTATGCCTTTATTCTGTAAATAAATATGTTTTGAATCTGTAGTATGTGCCAAGACCTTGTGATAGGCACCAAAAATTTCAGACATGCTTTATTTCTCCAAGAGCTTAGAGTACAGCTTAATTTAGGTAGCAAAACATTTATTTTCAAATTTTTCTTAAAAGAGAGGAATTTCGTTTACTTGAACTCATTGATTTTGTTAAATAAGTTCTTTTTACTTATTAAAGATAAGTAAGTGCATTAACAACATCAGTTATAAGAAGACTATGCTTTGTAGAGACATCCAACAAAGAATGTGTTTGTGATCGGGAAGTTCAACTGAGTGGTATTGTAACCACACATAATTATATCAGGCTACTGATAGGAGGTTTGATTTTTGGGGGTGAATTTGTGGGAAGATAGAGAAGGGATAGAAGTAAAACATGTGGCCTGCATCAGGGAAATGCTTTCCTTGAAACCAGGGATTCTGCCTCTTTGAAAGGTAAGGTGAGTTCTCATGCTGCTTATAAAAACATACCCAGTTTAATGTTTCCTCAAGATAGGTTTTAGCGCAAGCTAGTATTCTGCGTGTTTGTAAAAATGATTCAACACCTGCAGCTGGTGAATTAGGAATTGTATTTGTTGCCTTTTTTATATTAGATGAGGTGCAAAAATTTTAATGCTAGTCAGTATGCACCACCACGGGAAAGTTAGTTCTCCTTAGCATTTGAAACTACAGTTTTGGAAACTTAGGCTAAGCTCATTTGGGTTTGTTATTTGTTCGCCCACTAACGTCTTCTTTTGTTGGAAGTGCTTATCAGCATAATGAGCTAAGTGTCATGCATATTTGTGAAGAAACGTCCCTTTTGGGAAGGAGAGGTACTCCTTGATCTTTATGAATCACAGGTTACTGTTTTGCCTTATTGCTTAACTTAATGTAGTGAAATCAGACAAAGCTTGAAAAAAAACATACCCAAGACTGGGTAATTGCCAAAGAAAGAAGTTTAATGGACTCACAGTTCTGCAGGTCTGGGGAGACCTCACAATCATGGCAGAAGACAAAGGAAGAGCAAAGGCACATTTTACATGGCGGCAGGCAGGCAAGAGAGGTTGTGCGGGGGAAATCCCATTTTGAAAGCTATCAGGTATTTTTCACTTTCAACCTGAAAATGAGTTACTAAGTGAGTTTCTTGCAGGCACCATAGGGTTGTAGCTTATTTTTTAAATCTCTGTAGCCACTATGTGTCTTTTGATTAGAAAATTTAATCTCTTTAAATTTAAAGTTGTGTAGTCTGGTAGGAAATTAGTACTATGATTTGTTGATTGTGTAACTTGCTTTGTAATTCCTTTGTTCCTCTCTCCATGACTTGTCTTCCTTCAGGATCCTGGTGAGTTTTTATAGTGGTATGTTTGCTTTCCTTTCTCTTTCTCTTTTGTTTATCTATTATACATTTTATCTTTGTGTGTACCATGAAGCTTACGTAAAACCATGAGGTTTACATCTTCTAACAGTCTCTTTTAAGGTAACATTTAGCTCTGAATTAATATGGAAGTTCTACACTTCTTTCCTCATGCATTTTAGGTTATTGATGTTACTGTTTATACCTTTTTTATATTGTATCCATTAACAAATTATTATAGTCTGAATTTTAACACTTTTATTTTTAACTGTATACTACAGTTGAAAGTGATTTGTGTAGACCATTACAAAATTATTGAGTTTGATTACATATTTATCTTTACCTGGAGGTTTTATGGTTTCATTTGTTTTCATCTTGCTCCTTTTTGTTGCAACTTGGAGAACTCCCTTCACCATTTCTTGTCAAGCAGGTCTAGTAGTAATGAACTTCTTCAGCTTTTATTTCTCTGGGAAGCCTTCATCTCTCCACTCTTGAATGACATATTTGATGGATATAATATTTTTGGCTAGTAGGGGGTTTTTGTTTAAGGTTTTTACACTTATTTTCTCAGTACTTCAATTTTATTTTCCAATTTTCTCTTGGCTTGCAAGGTTTCTGCTGAGAAATCCAGTCATAGTCATATGGATGTTCATTTATATTTAACAACCCACTTTTCTCTTGCTGCTTTCTAAATTCTCTCATTATCTTTGACTTCTGACAATTTGATTGTAATGTGACTTGGTAAAGACCTCTTAATTCCATCTACTTGAGGTTCTTTGTACATTGTGGACATGAATGTTCAATTCCCTTCCCAGATACTGTCTTTCTGTCATTATTTCTTTGCAAAAGCTTATTACCATTTCTCATTCTCTGCTGCCTTTGGTACTCCCCTAATGAATATGTTGCTTAATTTGATGGTGTTTCTTTAATCAAATTGGCTTTTTTCCCCATCTTTTTCATTCTTTTTTTTCCTCTGAGTAATTTTAAATGACTTGTCTTTGAGCTCACTGATTATTTCTTCTGCTTCAGTCTGCTGTTAAACATCTCTGAATTTATTTTAGGGATTATATTCTTCAGCTCCAGGGTTTCTGTTTTTTTCTTTTTAAGGGTTTTTATTTATAAGTTGAACTTCTAATTCTCCTCATACATTGTTTTCCTGATTTTGTTAAGTAGTTTATCCACATTCTCTTGTAGCTTATTGAGCTTTTAAAAGATTTTGAATTATTTGTCAAGCCATTCACAATTTTTTATTTTCTTGGTTATTGCAGATTTATTAGTTTCTTTTGATGGTGTCGTATTTACCTCATTCTTCATAATCTGTATAACCTTGCATTTGTGCTTGTGCTTTTGAAAGAGATGACTCCTCTTTCATTTTTTATAGACTCTTTTCAGCAAGCATAGACCTTCTCTAACCTTGATAGGACTGCCTCTGGAATTGTATTTGGGTGAAATGGAGAGGGGTCCTATGGTTGTGTCAAGTTCCTCATTCATATCTGCAGTTGGCAGGCCTATTACTAGGGTCACAGGTAAGTGTAGCTTATTTCAGATTTCTGAGTATGTTTCTGCCATGGCATGTCCCTAACAAGGTAGAATTGATTCCAGATTATGGTAGAACAGGGATGTAACCTAGGTTACAGTGCTGCTTCAGTGACAGCAGTCAGGTCTGAGGTTGGCAGACCAATTCCTGGGACACTTACGGTTTTGACCCCTGCTATATACCTGGATGGGTAGGACTGCGTCCTGGCCAAGGTAAGGCTGGAGACTTGTGCTGCTTCAGAGGTTGAAGTTGGATCTCAGATGGGCACATCTGTTACCTGGAATGCCTATAGGTATGACTTCTTTCAGGTCCTTTGGGCATGTCTCTAGGCAGGCAGAACTGCCATTGGGCTGAAGTAGAATGGAGCTTTAAGTTAGGTCACTGTACTGCTTCAGGAACCTCAGTTGGATCTAAGGTTGTCAGGCCCTGTTACTGCAGGTATGAATGGGCATGGCTCATCCCTGGATTTTTGGTGGAAGAGGCTCTTGGCAGGACTGTGGAAGAGTGGGGCTGGAACCTGCTCCATACAAGAACAACATTGTATGTATGTTCATTCTATTCTGAAGCTGGTGTCAAGGTCTATGGGCTTGTCATTAGTGTATAAGCCAGTCTTCTGAAAGCAGTCCTCCTGGGTCTTTGGATCCACTAGGATTTTATGCCTTCTGCCTGAATCCTAAAGCTTTCACATAGGCACTTTTGTCTGTGGATAGCTGCCAAATATTTGTTGTTGTGGAGGGATTCAGTGTGAGGACCTCTTGTTCCCCCATCTTGCTAATATACCCTGTAAAATGATCTGGATTCTAATTATGATTTTCTGACATTACCCACCTCTCTCTTTTCTTCTTGTTCTTTTGTTGGGATCAGTATAGTTCAGGTGATGCTTTCTACTTGGAAGGACAGCTGCCATCGTATTCCAGGTGGTACCCCTCTAGAAATGTATTTTCTGAAAAATCCTCTGCATTTTACAGTTTAAACATCTGACTGTATCTTCTTATTCCATTGCTTTTTCCATTGCTAATGTTTGTGCTACCATTAAGAGAGAGTGATACATGGTACACTAGTGCTTTGTATGTAACTACAGAAACCAATAGCTCCATCATTCCTTTGTCAGAGAGTAATAGACTTTATTACTATTTCTTCAGTCAGAATTAGATGTCCAGCATTTTAGGGTTCCTTTGGGGAATGAGTAGCAGTTGTATATGCAGTGACCTTGTTGGTGCCTCATTTTAGGTGATCATAAACTGGTCCCTAAGGATACTTACTATGTACTTACCCCTGCTTTAAATAAATCTTGTACTTTACAGGTTGCACTGCCTCCCTTTCTTTGCCCTGGATTTTCACTGACTTTAATCTTGAAATTGTGTCAAAGAAGATTTTTATTCCTTGGATGTCTTGTGATAAACCTTCCCTGAATGGTGGAAATGTTTACCTTGTAAATACCCAGAAACTTACAGTTTCATCTCTTGTACTCTCTCAAGTGCTTCACTCCTAGAGAGGGAAATTGTCTGCAGATGAGGTTTTCTGTTTTTGTTTTATTTCTGAGGTGTGGTAATAATGGTAATTGTGGTAATGATTGTGATGCAGACTTTGTGTACTGCCTACTCTGTGCCAGGAACCATTATTGGTACCTTGTTTGCAATAACTTAGCCAAATACAAGACTTGAAAATATATTTTTCTTTTTCCAACATTGTCAGCTGAGAGCTTTAAATATAGTAAAAAACCGTCAACTTTACCTAGTTGCAAATCTTTACTATAATTATCTTGTTCTTGATATATTTTAGGCCTTTATTATTCACCTTGAAATCATCTTGGTGAGATGTTATTGCAAACTTTACTTGGACATGAAGAAAGCAAGTTATAGGTGCACTAGCATTAAGATTCATGACTTTGTGCCGGTTATTTTACAATGCATTAATGTTCTAAAAATACAGAATTGCTTAATACCTCATTAAAATTTAACACAGGATAGAATTGTGAATTATATATTATTCTCGAGGGGAGAATTATTACAGATCTATACTACAGTTTAGATGTTGCATTTTAAGTAAGCTATGAAACTATCCAGATAAATTTAAAATAATAGTGTGTGAATACAAACCTAGGAAAACCCTTATCACAGATTTTAAAGAAGTGAAAACTACTTTGGAAGATCTACTTGACCAAGAATAACTGAACATCTAAAAGTTTTATCAGCATTTATATTCAAATCACCAAGCAACTCAAATTGTAAAGTTTTTCTCTTCCTGAAGAATCTCTTTAATACAACAATATAGAACTTTATCCATGAAAGAAGAAACTGTTTCACATTTAGTGGGGTTCATTATTTAAATTAATATACAAGGTAGGTGGGAGGAGAGAGGAGCAGAAAAAAATAACTGTTGAGTACTATGCTTAGTACCTGGGTGATGAAATAACATTCACAAACCTCCACGTCAAGAGTTTCCCTATGTAACAAAGCTGCACATGTACCCCGAACCTAAAATAGAAGCTTAAAAAAAAAAAAAAGAAAATTCTTTTGCTTTAGCTCAGATGTGGAAGCCAGCCTGTAGCTGTGGTAGAGCTCTTAGACACCCGTTAATATTTATTCTCATTTATGGCTCTCAGGTAACAGAACTTTGTGGCTTCTACTTCCCTCAGTGTTAGCTATGCTTTTTGATTCAGATTCTATTCATGTGTACATATGATGTCTACAGTTTCTTGGTTGTTTTCCTAAAGAGAAAGGTAATTTTCCTTCCCCTCTCCATATTTTCTTTCACTTACAGGCTGAAATTCAGCCATGCGGGTGGGCCATCTGTGACAGTGTGTGAGGACAATGATCTGGATCGCAGGGTGACAGAACAGCAGACAGTCTGACCCAAGAAGAAGCATTACACTAGTGCTTGATGCCCAGCCTCTGAAAATAAACTTCTATTGTCTTTAAGCCAGAAAAGAAATAATGTACAAGTTGAATGTTTGACATTAGTAGATGAGTACATGCATATATCACACTTAGCAGATCAAGGCTTACGTAAAATTGCTCATACAGATGTTTGCCTTGAGTTTTTCTTATGCAGTTTCAAATGTAGTATGTAAACAATCCTTCTAACACACTTATAATTACTAGCTTGAGAAGGAGAAGGATTATAGTGAATGATAGAATAATATGATGCCTTCTTGATATGCCCTTTAACACAAAATGTTTTAATATTCATATTAGCTCACTTAAATATCTTATGTTTAATATTTTAGATTTTTTAGTATTGTTGAGCACTAAATCAAAATTTCTGAGCAGCAGTTAACTTACTTAAGATCTATTTTTTAGTTTATTTGCATAAATTACAGAATAGATAAAAAGTGATTCTTGATATTTATAAAAATCAGATGCTGAGTGTTGATTAAATATTTCAGAATATGTATATTTAAAACCTAGATTTCAAAATAATTTGTTTATAAATTGGTGTTTTCTTTTTCTTATAAAGGGTTTAGGAAGATAAAGGGGTTTTGGAGTATGCAGATGTAATTACAGTGCAAAAACAGCAATAGACAAATCATAAATAAATGCACAGATGTGCCCCAATGGCACTTGAGTTATAAAAACAGGAGGCAGCCTAGATTTGGTCTGAGGGCAATGGTTTGTTGACCTGTAGTCTAGGATACTCAACATGGAAGGAAGAAGACATGGGAAATGAGATCTTAGTTAGACAAGTGGGGAGGTTTACTTAAGGCAAGGTTATTAATATCAGGTCTATTAATCAGTTTTAGCCATTCACAAGCAAAATGTTGTGCATTGGTTCCTTTTTCATGTGAAATGTTCCATGCTTATCTTTAGTGCTTGGGGCATACTATATGCTCAAAAAAGGGTCCATTAAACAATAAATGAATGAATAGTTCTCGGTATTTCATGACCTGTTAAAAGGTATTCTATTAGTAAGAAATGGCAGAAATTTATAAATAAACATTGTGGACTATTGGAGAAGATATACAGGAGATGCTGGGGAATTTTTGATACTCATTGAAACTGCGGTCTGCAAAAAAATTCAAACCTGTTGAAAGTCTCTTGTGAGTTAGAAAGGACATTCTATACAAGATTGAGATAAAAAGGATTATATAATGCCATCATTTGCAAACTGCTCTGCAGAAAGATTTGGCAGATTGCCTCTGGGGCTTCTGTTGATTCAACTTTATATGTTATAGCCTTATGTATCTGTGTAATAATTTGTATGACTAAAGCATTTACAGCCATACTTCTTAAAAACCAGTAGATAGGGCTGGCTGCTGTGGGTCATACCTGTAATCTTAGCACTTTGGGAGGCCAGGGTCAGTGGATCACCTGAACTCATGAGTTTGAGACCAGCCTGGGCAACATGATGAAACCCTGTAAAATACCAAATGTATACATATATATATGGCCTGGCATGGTCATGTGCGCCTGTAGTCACAGCTACTCAGGAGTCTGAAGCACAAGAATCACTTGAACCTGGGAAGCGGAGGTTGCAGTGAACTGAGATCACACCACTGTACTCCAGCCTGGGCAACAGAGTAAGACTCTGTCTCTAAATGAATAAATAATTAATTAGTTAAAAACTAAAAACTAGTACTATTTATAATAACATAAATATGGTATTTACATTTTATTTTTCCTCTAGCTTGTATAGTATTCCTTTGAGTATACTTAATCAAAAAGAATCATTCTACTTGACTTTTTTTTTAATCAGAAATCTTAATGGTGGTAAGATACTAGTAATATTAAATTTAATTATGCGTGTGGGAAGTATGGCCAAATGGACAGAATATGTCAAAGAAGATACTTCTTTGCATCTTGCAGCAGATTATCTGCTCCGAAAAGTAATGGAATTCTAGGTGCTTAATCTTTGAATACCAAATTAGAATGTTATCCTAAGTATCTATGTTGGGAATATTTAAACTGTGTTAACAAATAATGTAGCAGAGTTCAATCTGGGTAATTCAGGAGATATATTTCTTTTCCTTTCTTCCTTTATTGATCAGTTTTTCTTGTGTTTACTAAATGCCAGGCATAAGGGACCTGAAGGCAAGTATAATCTAGTTGAAAGAGAAAGATAAAAGCTTCTGGTTTTTAGATAGCATTTCTATTTTAAATTATTAGGTTGGTGCAAAAGTAATAGCAGTTTTTAAAATTAATGGCAAAAACCACACTAACGTTTTCACCAACCTAATATTTCAGTGTTAGTATTATTTAGATATGAAAAACTCATTCTATAAAGGTTTTTAATCTGTCTTTTCCCCTGAGTAGTATCAAATGAATCAGTCTTAAACTGTGTATGAGAATTAACTTCATAAAATGTTATATTTGATTACTACTTTCTTAAACTTTTCATTTAAATCTTAGACAAATTCTGGCATAAACAAGCAGGTTTAGGGATGTACAGGTCAAATTTTGTTGTCTCTGCTTTGCAAAGGAAAAAAGAAAATTAAGAAGCTTAATGATTTACCCCAGATCACACAGTGTTCTTAAGTCTCAGATCTTTGACTAGACTGCTGTTTCTACCTCCTTATATTCCTCCAAATACTCCACACTGCCTCTTACTCAATTATTCGTTTTATTGCCTTTCTCATGTGAAGTGAGCTCATAAAGAGGGTAAATCAGCTGGGCGTGGTGGCTCACACCTGTAATCCCAGCACTTAGGGAGGCCAAGGTGGGTGGATCACTTGAGGTCAGGAGTTGGAGACCAGCCTGACCAACATGGTGAAAACTCATCTCTACTAAAAATATAAAAATTAGCTGGGTGTGGTGGCGGGCACCTGTAATCCCAGCTACTTGGGAGGCTGAGGCAGGAGAAATGCTTGAACCCGGGAGGTAGAGGTTGCAGTGAGCCAAGATTTTGCCATTGCAATCCAGCCTGGGCAACAAGAGTGAAACTCCGTTTCAAAAAAAAAAGAGTGGTGGAGGAGGTAAATGGGCCCCTTACAATGTTTACTGGATATTTTCACTCATTCTTACTTTCTACCATTTGTCAAATTATAAGATGATTTTAAAGAAAATTATACTATTCTTTAATTTTGTAGGATGTAGACATTTTAAAGCCATCAAGTTACATTGTTTTTTCCTGTTTTTATGCTTTGGAGCTTGTGTAGGATTGTAGTTACATTAAGCTCACTACTAACTGATGGTAGTTAAAACATAAAGCAGTTTAATATAGGTAAATGTAGACTTGTAGTACAATTTGGGTACCCTCTCATGTTCACTTAAAAGCTTTTGAAAGATTCTAAAATATTCTTGGCATATAGTTTTTGAAGGTATTTCCACTTTTCTACATTTCACAGGCCATACTAAAAGTTAGTTTTAGCTTTTTTCCTTTACTTTGAGGTGTAGTACTTTTGCCAGTGCTATCCTTGCATAGACAAATTTGCTTCTGGAAGCATTATAGGTATTTCAGCTGTAAATCATTTGTCCTACCTGAAAGTTCATTATTATAGATGGTAAGTAAACAGCATACATTCTTTAGAAATGATTATCTTGTTTTCACATAAATAGCTATAAAGGCTTCAGATGGAGAAAAAGTCAGATATATATACATATAAATGGTTGACATAGTTTATGATCTTTTAACTTTGCTGACTTTTGTAGCATGCTGGTCTTATTGTTGTTTTAATATTTATGTTATCCATTTCTTGTCACTTCAAAAAAGAATAAAGCTTATGCTGTAAAATATTTTCCTATAGGATATTTTCTTAGGTTTTAATGAAGCATTACTGGTTTAATGAACACTCAGTGCTCATATTTTGTATAAAATTATAATTGCAAGCATTTATTATACAATTCATCATGGGTTGTTTGTGTACTGCATACATTGTGGTAATAAGAACACAAAGGTCATAGTTATCTTTAAGTCTGGTGCAGCGTTGTTTATTAAGTTTATTTCCAAGATAATTTTCTGTAGGACAAGCTTAGGGAAAAAAGTGAGTGGATATTCTAATCAAAGCTAAAGTACAGGATCAGTCTCATTGGAAGAAAAGTTAAACCTCTTGTTAGAATAAAATAACAAAAATAGTTTAAATAATATATAGTATTGTTAACTGTAGGCTAATAAAAGGAGATTTTGTGTAGCTGTCTCTAAAATTCAGCCTTCCTTTGAATGTTTAATTTTTAATGCTCTCTTTGTTGCTATTACTATTTTTTAAAATGTTAATATGTGAGCCCATTTTTTAGAAAATTATTTTTAAAATACAACAATATATCAAAGAGAAATGTTCTCATTCATCTGTTTATTCTACTTCTTTCCTGAGGTGTGTTAGTCTTTGGGCTGTTAAAAGCTATACAGCAGGTAGCTTATAAACAACAGAAATGTATTTCTTGTAGTTCTGGAAGCTGGTAGTTCAAGGTCTAGCACTGGCATATTCAGGGTTTGGTGAGGACCTGATTCCTGGTTCATAGACTGTGCTTCCTGCCTGTTTCCTCACATGGAATATGAGCAAGGCAGCTTTCTGGAGCTTCTTCAAGCAGCGTACTAATCCCATTCATGAAGTCTCTACCCTCATGACCTAATTACCTCCCAAAGGCCCTACCTCTAGGGGCTTAGGATTTCAACATATGAATTTTGGGCAACACAAAGATTGAGCCCTTAGATCACGGTAAATCACATGAAAAAGGTTGCAATATTTACATTGCTAGAGTTGAGCATCTCAGTTCTTCTTTCTGAAATATGATCTTGATTTTGTTGTCTATAGAGCTCAAAGCTATCAGATATAGGGAATACTTTTAGACACCACAATCTAGATATAAATTTTAAAAGACAC